CTGGCTCTACCTGGGCATCACCCCTGCCTCAACTCCAATAGCTGAGACTACAAGTGTCTGACACCATACTCAGGAGATTTTCAAAATGAAGTTATTTGAGTAGGTACACGCAATTAAGTTTTTTTTTTTTGGGGGGGATTATGATCAAACTTGAGCTTTAAAAGGTCCCAAGCTTCGTTTGAGTCCCAGCGTGCTGGCACGCCTGCTCTCTCTGCTGTCAGAGAACCAGGTGTAGTAGCAGGTCATGACTCTGCTTGGGAGGTTGAATCCAAGGAATCATGGGTCAGGCAACTGGGGGCTGTAAGTTCAAAGCCAGCCTGGTTAACTTAGTATGACCCTGTTTCAAATCATAAATTTAAAGATTTAGTATTTTAATTTTATGTGTATGAGTGTTCTGTCTGGATGCATGTATGTACAGCACGTGGGTGCCTGGTGCAAGCAGGGGCCAAAGGACCACATCAGATCCCATGAGACTGTAGTTATGGATGGTTGTCTGCTGCATGTGGGTGCTAGAAACTGAACCAAAGTCCTCTTGAACACCAGAAAGTGCATTTAACTGCTGGGCCATGTCAGCAAGCCCCTTGAAATATAAATTTAAAAAATGGACAGGGACATAGCTAAGCCTCAGAAGTGCATAGTTGCCTAGACTGTGTGGGCCCCACATACAATTCCCAGGACCACCACCACCACTACCACACACATACACACACTATACATACATACATACATACATACATACATACATACTTGTATAGTGTATATACATGTATCTACATATGTATATGTATATAGCATTATATATTTTTATATACATATATATATATATATATATATATATATATATATATATATTGCATTTTAATTAATTGTTTGAGAATTGGTTTTAAACTCTGGTTCCTCTGCCTCCCAAGTGCTATGGTTACAAGTGTGTACTTGGGTCTCTCTCTCTCTCTCTCACACACACACACACACACACACACATACATACATACACACACATATACACACAAACATACATACATATACATACATACACACATACACAATTTTTTTTTTTTGTTTTTTTGAGACAGGGTTTCTCTGTGTAGCCCTGGCTGTCCTGAAACTCACTCTGTAGACCAGGCCGGCCTTGAACTCAGAAATCCGTCTGCCTCTGCCTTCCAAGTGCTGGGATTAAAGGCGTGCGCCACCACCGCCTGGCACACATACACAATTTTATCTGTCTGTTTTGTTTTGTTTGAGACAGGATCTCTCTATGTAGTTCTGGCCATCCTGGAACTCAATATATAGACCAGGCTGGCCTCAAACTCACAGAGACCCTTCTGCCTCTGTCTCCCGAATTGCAGGGACTAAAGGCATGTGCCACTACATCCAGCCAATATTAATTTAATTTTTGTTTATATGTATATATTTGTGTTCCTGTATGTATAGGCCATGAGTGTTTGGGTACCAAGAAGGCCAGAAAAGGCCATATGGACTTGAAGTCACAGGAGGTTATAAGGAACCTTACATGGGTGTTAGGAATGTAACTCAGATCCTCTGGAAGAGCAGAATGCAATTTTAACTCCTGAGCTACTATCTCCACCCCTCAAAAAAAAAAGACATAAATGAGTAATTTAACAAGAATTATCTGCAGGCCTTTAATCTCAGCACTCAGGAAGCAGATGCAGACAGATCTCTGTGAGGTCAAAGCTACTTCTAGGATAGCCAGGAGTTCCTAGAGAACCCGTCTCAAAAAGCTTTAAAAAATCACTTGAAGCCGGGCGGTGGTGGCACATGCCTTTAATCCCAGCACTTGGGAGGCAGAGGCAGGCAGATTTCTGAGTTCGAGGCCAGCCTGGTCTACAGAGTGAGTTCCAGGACAGCCAGGGCTATACAGAGAAACCCTGTCTCGAAAAACCAAAAAAAAAAAAAAAAAAAAATCACTTGATGCCTGGTGTGGTCTGGTGTGGTGGCTTAAGATTCTAATCTTAGCAACTGAGAGCCTGAGACAAGAAGATTTTTAGTTTGTGTCCAGCATTGACTATAAGGTAAAACAATTTCAAAAAAATAAACTAGAAAAGCTTCTCCAAGCTACAACGGTCATGAATGTGGATTGGCCCTATAGCTCAGTTGGTAGAGTGCTTAAAGCCCAGGACTCAGTCAATCATTCACAGCACAGATCCTCCCAGCTCTCTGGAGTCAGAGGCAGGAGGATTCCAAGTTCAATAGGTTTATTTCCCAGCACCCACGTGGCAGCTCACAACTGTGAATCTAGTTCTAGGAGATCATATGTAAGCTATTCGTTATTTTTGTTAAGCAAGGTCTTGTTATGTAGCTCAGGTAGATTGGGGACTTGTGTTATTTTATAAGTTGTGGCTGTGGTCCCTGGATTGGGCACTTGCCTTAAGAGGAATCAAGTACTTGCCACTTCCAAGGCCCAAAGCCCCAGAGGCTCTTGCCTTCCTATAAGCTTCTGCCTCTCTGCCTCCCTGTAGGAAAGTTCAGGCTGATCTCTCATTGATGGAAGACTCATGAAGGGATTTGGGGGTTGGGCAGAGACAGAAACAGAGATAGAGACAGAGAATCTGACTCAGCCAATAGTCAGCACACAGGCCCAGATACTCAAGGTCCTTCTGGACTTTCTACTTCTGTTGAGACTTCAACCCCGGGAACAAATACGCGACAGGAAACAAGAGAGCTGCTAATTTAGCCCACAGATCCCTGAGAAACAATACACTGTTTTTCTGGGCCAGCAGTTGGAAGGAGAGGCAGGTGCATCTCTGGGTGTTCAAGGCTACTTAGGGTCTATGACAAAGAGTGCTCTAGGCCACCCAGGGCTACATAGTGTCAAAAAAAAAAAAAAAAAGGCAAGAAAGCCAATCTTATGGCACTCACCTTTATCCTAGCACAGGGAGGCAGAGGCCAACCTATTCTAGGAAAAGTCAGAGCTATGTAGAGAGATCCTGTCTCAAAAAACCCAAACCCAATCCAAACAACAACAAAATACAAAAACAATAAAAAGCTCCCCAAACCCCATATTGTTTTAAGCTACAGCCACTAAGTAATAATGTTTATTATTATTATTGTTTTTTTTACTTTTTTTTTAAAGACAGGGTTTTTGTGTAGCCCTGTCTGGCCTGGAACTCGCTCTGTAGACCAGGCTGGCCTTGAATTCACAGATCTGCCTGCCTCTGCCTCATGAGTCCTGAGATTAAAGGAGTGCCCACCGCGGCCAGTGCTGTTTATGATGATAATGATACTTATACACCAGGAAGGAGGTGAATTCTTAGCTGTGGAAAACAAGTCCTAGGGAGCATAGTGTTAAGTCAGAATTTTGTATTGCCGTGGCTACGTAACTTAGAACAACACACTTCAAGGAGAAGAGGTTCCTTTCTGGCTCAGAATTTCATATGGTTCATATGTAATCACTCGGCTCTAAGCTCATGTCTGTTATGACACAGTCTCATGGATAGCAGGATTCATGGTGGACAGCAAACAAAGACCTAGAGGAAGGGCCAGAGTGAACCAGGGCCTCAAGAACACCCTCCACCAGTGGCTAACTCCCTAGGTTCTACCCCAAAGGGATGAAACCACAGATTAATTTGAAACTGTCCATGACATACTTGACTCCCTAAGGTTTCGTACGCATTTGTGTGTGTTCTGGGGACCGAAAACAAGGCTAGCCTCATACAAGGCTGGCCTCATGCAACAACTCCAACCTCTGAATAAATTTAAACGCCAGGAAAACAGATGTCATGTTTATCTCTTTTAGCAAGCTCTTTGTCCAGAGCACGTGACAGCCTTTTTGCTTTTTTTTTTTTTTTTTTTTTTTCTGGTTTGGTTTTTGGTTTTTCGAGACAGGGTTTCTCTGTGTAGCCCTGGCTGTCCTGGAACTCACTCTGTAGATCAGGCTGGCCTTGAACTCAGAAGGCCTTGCCTCTGCCTCCCAAATGATGGGATTAAAGGCGTGTACCACCACTGCTGGCCTTTTTGCTTTTTCTAAGACAAGGTCTCTTGGGCTCATACTCACCATGTAGCTGAGGCCATAATGAGTTTGAACTCCTGACCTTCCTGTCTTCGCCTCTTAAATCCTTCAATTATAGACCCAGGCTTTTCTTTTCCTTTTTTTTTTTTTTTTCTGGACAAGGTTTTGGCTGGCTTGATCTTGTATAGCCCAGGCTGGTCTCAAACTCACAGCATCCTCCTGCCTCAGTATTTGTTGAATAAATGAGTGCCCCGGGTATAGTAAGGAATCCTGAAACTGCACACACACCCCCGAAGCAATTTCCCGGAGAACAAGAACTCCAGTTCTGTGAAAACAGGTCTAGAATCCACACCCCACTCCACCCCTGAGAATGGGTTTCTCTGTGTAGCCCTGGCTGTCGTGAAACTCACTCTGTCGGATCAGGCTGGCCTCAGACTCTGAGATATGCCTGTCTCTGCCTCTAGAGTGCTGGAATTAAATCCGTGCTTCAGAGGCCTAGAATCTTTTTAACAAAACCTCCAGCTCAAAGCCACGTGTAGTAGTGTACCCCTTTCATCCAGTACTGGGGAGGAGGAGGCGGCAAGTGGATCCTTGTGAGTTTGAAGCCAGCATGGTCTACAGAAAGAGCTCTAGTCCAGCCCTGTTAGACCAGTAAGACCCTGTCTCAAAAACAAACACTGCAGCCCAACCACAACAAATATTTTCCTTTTCGTTTTGTATTTTCACAACAGGTGTTTTCCATCTGAGACTCACAGCTTCTTTGGCTAGGCAACAAGTACCTCTAGGACCCCGAGTTCCTTTCTCTTTCTTTATGAATGAACAGGCTCAGGTCTACGCATGTGCAGCTCCCAAAGATCCCGCTCCACGTGAGGCCCACCCTTCCCTCCTGTGTGTGACTCCGCCCTCCTCTAGTCTAATAGACCAATGGGGGGCAGCATGTGGGGCGGAGTCGGGAGCCGCCCGGCTAGGTATCCCGCTCCTCTTGTACCCCTCCCCTGCCCTCCGCGCCGGGCTCCCCTGCGTACAGTCGCTGTATTGTGATCACGTGGGCTGCCCGGGGCGCGCGGCTTGTTTTGGTTTTCCTTGGGCTTTCCCTGCGTAGCTTCTGTGAGCCACTGTCCTTCCCCGGGTCCACCTCGGCCTGCACCTCGGCTGATCTTCGAGCTCCTTCGGCCCGCACTCTTAAGAGCCCCGCGGGGCGGCGTCCTGTCATGCCGCTGGTGCGCTACAGGAAGGTAGCCATCCTGGGGTACCGCTCTGTAGGTGAGTCCCCGCCCTCCCGAGAGCACCATTGCTTTGTGGCCAGAAGAGGCGCGCTGTCGCGGAAATGTGACACGAGGACCCAATGTGGCCTGGGAAGAAGTCGGGTTTGCTGCCAGGAGATGGAAGGGTGGAGGGATGCTGGAAGAGGACCGCGCAAGGGTTAAAGTGTACTGGGCTGTGGTAGCACCAGTAGTCCCCGTGTTGCTCTGGGAGCGGGGGCGGGATCAGTATTTGAAGTCATGGTGGAGATCTGCGTGGGGTAGACAGTCACAAGTGTCCTAGCCTGATGCACTAGATCCTGGGGGAATCTTTTCCAAAGGGTGAGATGGAGTGGGGCTGGAAAGGGCTTCCTGCAGCGTCACTGAATGCATCCAGTAGCCAAAACGCGGCGGAGTCTACGCGTAAGGATGGTGGTAATAAAAGACCAAGGGAAGGCGTTGTTTTGGGGCTCCCACAGACTGGGAAGCTCATTTGGGGTGCCCTTTGGTCCTGGCCACAGTCCAAAAAAAGGGAAAAGATGTGAATATGGATGGATGATTGTATTACAACAATCTCTGGTCCTTAAAGGGAAGACATCTTTGGCACATCAATTTGTGGAAGGCGAGTTCCTGGAAGGCTACGATCCTACAGTGGAGAATAGTGAGTAGTAGCCCCCCCCCCCTTTTTTTTCTGGAGGCAGAGTTTCTTTGTGTAGCCTAGGCTATCCTAGAACTAGCTCTGTAGACCAGGTTGGCTTCGAATTTAGAGATCCACCTGCTTCTTCTGCCTGTAGAATACGGGATTAAAGGCACGTGCCGCTACTGCCTAGCATGAGTAATTTTTTTTCGTGTGAAGGAGATGGAACCTAGACAGATTGGGCGCCCTCTCTAACTCCATAATTTGAGATTTCTTTGTTTGTTGCCAAGAGGATGGTTATTTATTTCTATGTTCCTCTAGTCAGTTCTGGGAATCCTGGTCTGTGTCTAGAGAGTGGAGTTTGCAAGGTTCTAGTCCAGAATAGTGTAGATCAGTGGTTCCCAATCTGTGGGGTGAGACCCCATTTGCAACCCTGTACCTCCAAAAATATGTACATTACGATTCACAACGATGGCAAAATCATAGTTATGAAGTAGCGACATAAATAATTTTATGGTTGAGGGTCACCATGACACAAGGAAGTGTTTTATAGGGTGACAGTATTAAGAGGGTTGAGAACGACAGGTGTTGGTGAAGGCAGTAAGTCTGCGTGTGTCTCTCCTGGGGTCAGGAATATATAGGAACATACATCACTGCCACTACAAAGCACCTTACAGGCAAGAAGCTCTTTGTTTGTTTCTTTTTCCAGCTTACAGCAAGACAGTGACTCTTGGCAAAGATGAGTTTCACCTACATCTAGTGGACACAGCAGGGCAGGTACCAGTTGTGGTAGGGTGTCCAAATGTTACAGTTCAGCCCTATATAAAGTTTGGGGGTGTGTGTGGCTCCTATGGACATAGTATGAAAAGGAAAGGCTTTAGTTGTTAGCAGTTTGCAAGGCTGAGTGGAGCTACTTCATAAAAACTTGTTTAATGGAAGAGACCAGGGCAGGAAATGTCCCAGGGAGGGTCACTCTTATACTATGCTACCAGCTTATGCCGTTTGAAGGCATGGGTGTAAAAACACGTGTTTTTATTTGCTGCTAGGATGAGTACAGTATTCTGCCCTATTCGCTCTTCATCGGGGTCCATGGTTACGTGCTTGTATACTCGGTCACCTCCCTGCGCAGGTATGTGACTGAGATTTTGAGTGGGGGCTTGTCAAGACTGAACAGTCATCCTAGAACTAAAACCATAGCTCTGTTTCTTATGTCTGAAGCTTCCAAGTCGTTAAGAACCTGTACCAAAAGCTACATGAAGGCCATGGTAAAACTCGGTAAGTGACCCTAGGACATAGTGACATGAGGGTGTGGAAGAAAGCAGAAGGGTGGACTGTTCAAGGAGGCTAGACATAGATCATGGCTGACTTGTTTGGGGAGTCATCTACCCTTGATGGAGTTGGAGCAGTTGGGGTCCATGGAGGATGGGGACAGGAATCTGACAAGCATAACTGCAGTAACTGCTTTTTCATCCCAGGCTGCCGGTGCTACTTGTGGGGAACAAGGCAGATCTCTCTCCAGAGAGGTGGGTAATACCCTGCTGCTTAGGTAAGGGAAAGTGATGATCTGGTCCAGGGAGCAATCAAGCTGTAGTCCTTCCCAGCTCTGCTGTTTGACTGAAGCAATTTTACATCTTGATTTCTTTGAGACAGGATCTTTACCACATAGGTCAGGCTGTCCTTGAGCTCCCGATCTTCTAGCTTCTAAATAGTGCTCACTGAGAATGTAGCAGTGGGTCACCACGCCTAGCTGGTTTTCCCTTGCTTTTTTTTTTTTTTTTTTTTTTGTTTTTTCGAGACAGGGTTTCTCTACATAGCCCTGCCTGTCCTGGAACTCACTCAGTAGACCAGGCTGGCCTTGAACTCAGAAATGCGCCTGCCTCTGCATTCCAAGTGCTGGGATTAAAGGGGTGCGCCACCACTGCCCGGCTTCCCTTGCTTTTCATCCTTACTTTGAAGGTCACCTAAGGATAATCCTATCATAATCTATATTTCAGTCGTACATTTACATATCATGTTTCTGTTCACATATATTTTCTCTTTCTTCGTTCACCTCCTCAAAGGGGATGGGGTAGGGGATGTGAATCATCAGAAGGCATCCAAGCCCTAAAGATCTTTCAGAGAACTTGCTGATGTTTCTGTCTGCCGTCTATCTTTATATGTTCTAAATCTGCTTCCAGAGAGGTGCAGGCAGTTGAAGGGAAGAAGCTGGCAGAGTCCTGGGGTGCAACGTTTATGGAGTCATCTGCTCGGGATAATCAGGTGCTGAACATAAAGATTAGACTCTGTTTCGTACCCAGCTGTGTCTTCCTTACACACTGCTAGGCGGTCGGGATAGTTGAGAAAGTGCTGTCTTTGCCTCGGGGACGGCTCTGAACCAACTGATTGACCGCTGATCTCATTCCTTGTAGCTAACTCAAGACATCTTCATCAAAGTCATCCAGGAAATTGCTCGTGTGGAGAATTCTTACAGACGACAGGACCGCCAATGCTATCTCATGTGAACTCTTAGCATGGAATAACTGCTCTGTTTCGGCCGTAGGCATTGTCCAGCCTGCAGCGGTGGGGCAGACCCTCAGGACTTAACTGCTACAGTTGCCAACTATGTCCCTAGTCCACTGGGCACAAGTATGGCACCCTCATTTTTGCACACTCATCCCAGGTTCTGGTAGCCTGGATGTTAATGTTTACAAAGGAGCAAGAGGTCTCAGGGACACTTCTTTTTTTTTTTTGTTTTTTCGAGACAGGGTTTCTCTGTGTAGCCCTGGCTGTCCTGGAACTCACTCTGTAGACCAGGCTGGCCTCGAACTCAGAAATCCGCCTGCCTCTGCCTCCCAAGTGCTGGGAGTGTCCCGGCACTCAGGGACACTTCTAACTCCTTGTTTTTCTAAATGAATTTTTAGTCTATACAGTTGGGATATGAGTCTTGGGCATTGATTACCCAGGACTCCTGGGTAGATTTTGGGCATTGGTTGGGAAAGGGTGTTGGTTGCTTGGCAGTTCTGAAGTAGAGCTGTCTGCTGGGGTAACAATGTATATTTCCAAATAAACTGAGAAGTCTTGTGTTGTTGACTTTTTTGTGTCTAGGGAGAGCTGAGGACTGGTGACTTCAGTATGTAGTATGGATTTGTCTTATTCCTCACTAAGGACCCTGTCCTAAGACTGAACTGCTCTACTTTTTCATCTATTTTGATGTTTCTTTTTGCTTGTTTTTGTTTTGGTGTTTTTTTGTTTTTTGTTTACTTTAAATTCTGTTGGGCTGCCCCACCCATTTAAGTTTATGGGCGTCGAGGCTCCCTTAACTGCAGATGTACCGCCCTCTAGTGGCCAGTTGCTATATGCTGACTAGCCCTTGCCCTGGGACCATGACATTTGCTGTGTCCCCTTGTTTCTAATGACATCAAGGAGAGTAGAGGCAGAGACTAGAAGTGTGTGATAACCTAAGAAAAGTGAGAAAAGAAAGAATGTGCTTGGTGCACATGTGCTCTGGCAACCCGGACGTCCCTAAACCCCCTTTTTCTTACCCCCTAGCCCATCCCTCCCTGGAGTTTCTCTGTGTAGTCCTGGCTATCCTGGAACTTGGAGCCTCATGCACTGCTTGCTAAGAGCCTTTTTCCCTTTTGAGCAGACATTTTTTCCCCCTTTATCCATCTGGTCATGTTTTTTTGTTTGTTTTTCGAGACGGGTTTTTCTGTGTAGCCCTGGCTGTCCTGGAACTCTGTAGACCAGACTGGCCTTGAACTCAGAAATCCGCCTGCCTCTGCCTCCCAAGTGCTGGGATTAAAGGCGTGAGCCACCACTGCCCGGCTTGGTCATGTTTTTGTGCCTTGCACACCTTTGGAGTAGTGCTATATTTTTTAGGCGTTATAGATTTTTGTCCTTTCAGAGTCTGCTACAGTAGGATGGCTGTTTGCTAGTAAGGGGTAGGGCTTCTTTACTTTTTTTTTTTTTTTTTTTTTTTTTTTTGGTTTTTCGAGACAGGGTTTCTCTGTATAGCCCGGGCTGTCCTGGAACTCACTCTGTAGACCAGGCTGGCCTCGAACTCAGAAATCCGCCTGCCTCTGCCTCCCGAGTGCTGGGATTAAAGGCGTGCGCCACCACCAGTAAAGGCTGCTTCTTTACTTTTTAAATTATGTGTTTGCATGTGAATACAGGTACCTGAGGTAGCCAGAGGCATCAGATTCCTTGAAGGTGTAGGTACAGGTGGTTATAAGTCACTGAACATGGGTACTGGACACTGTACGTGGGTCCTAGGCACAAGCAGTGTGTATTAGTTGCTGAGCTGTCTCTCCAGCCCTTAACTGTCTGCCTTGACAAGTCACCAATTCATCCTCAAAGAGAGTTGTAAGAGCCTCTGCTGACTGGGAGAAGCTGAAGTGCCTAAGTTCCCATTTGTGAAGTATGGTTGAATAGGCTTCAGAAGCTGGGTGTTGTGGCATACACACACACACACCCTATAATCCTAGAGTTTGAAGGCTGAGGCAGGAGGCCATCCTGAGCTGTATATAAAGAGGTTACATGCCGGGCGGTGGTGGCGCATGCCTTTAATCCCAGCACTTGGGAGGCAGAGGCAGGCGGATTTCTGAATTCGAGAGTTCGAGGCTAGCCTGGTCTACAGAGTGAGTTCCAGGACAGCCAGGACTACACAGAGAAACCCTGTTTCGAAAAACCAAACCAAAAAAAAAAAAAAATAAAGAGGTTACATGCTAGCCAAATATTCTACCACTGAGCTGTAGCTCCAGTCCTTTTATAAAAATTGTGTGTGTGTGCGAGTGTGTGTATGTGTGTGAGAGATAACATGCAAATGAAAGTTAGAAGGCAACTTGCAAGAGTTGATTCTCCTACATTGTGGGTCCTGGGGCTCAGACTCAGATCTTCAGGTCTGGCAGCAGGTGTCTTTTATTCATTGAGCCATCTTGTCAGCCCTTTAGAGACTTCTTTTTGATTTTGTTTGTTTGTTTTTAGATTTATTTATTTAATGTATATGAGTACACTGTAGCTGTCGTCAGACACACCAGAAGAGGGCATCGGATCCCATTACAGATGGTTGTGAGCCACCGTGTGGGTGCTGGGAATTGAACTCAGGACCTCTGGAAGAGCAGCCAGTGCTCTTAACCACTGAGCCATCTCTCCAGCTCCAGACTTACTAATTTCCTGTCTTTCAGTGTTTTGCCTGCATGCTTGTCTGCACCACGGGTGGGTGGGCCTTGTGCCTATAGAGTCCTTTATCCATCTGATCATCTTTGTGCCTTGCACACCTTTGGAATTGTGCTATATGTTTTAGGTGTTAAAGAAGAAATCAGAAGAGTGTATCATATCCCTTGGAACTAGAGATATAGGTAGTTGAGAACCAGCACGTTGGTACAGGGAATGAAACCCAGGTCCTCCAGAGGAACAAGTACTCATGAACTCTTGAGCCATCTCTTCAGTCATAAATATTGTTTTTTTTTTTTTTTGGAGATTTATTTTTAGCTAGGTAGTGATGGCACATGCTTTTAATACCAGCACTTGGGAGGCAGAGGCAGGGGGATCTCTTGAGTTTGAGGCCAGTCTGGTCTACAGAGGGAGTTTCAGGACAGCCAGGGATACACAGAGAAAACCTGTCTTGAATAAACAAAATAAAGATTTTTTTTTTCCATGAATGGGTATCTTAGTGTCTTGCCTACTGTACATCTAAGCAGCACATGTGAGCAGTGTCCCCGAGGAGGGCATCAGAGCTCTTAGAAATGAAGTTAGGGATGGTTGTGAGCCACCAAGTAGGGTCTGGGGACCAAACCTAGGTCTGGTGGAAGATCAACCAGGGAGTGTTCTTAGCCACAGAACGATTGTCCCAGCCTCTGAATGTACTGAAATAGGGTCTAAGTTGCCCAGGCAGGCCTTGAGTTTGCTAATCCTGGTTTCTCCTTCCCGGTAGCTGGAAGCATTACAGATTCCAGATTGTGAATCACAGATTGTGAAAGACAAGCATGGTGTTTCTTTTGAAAATTTTTGTTGTTCTTTTGATGAGTGTGTGTGTGTGTGTGTGTAACAGGTGTGCTGTGATGCAGGTGTGGAGGTTAGAGGACAACTTTGAGGAATTGGTTCTCTATATCCATTCTGTGGGTCCTGGGGGGTCAAACTCATGAGTTGTGGTAGCAAACTACCTACAGAGCTACCTCGGCTCAGAGGGGGACTTTGAAGTCCTCAGCATCCTCTGGCCTTCACATCCCAAGTGCTAAGTCACAGGACTGCAGTACCAAACTCGGCTTAAGAGCTTGTATTAAAAAGATTCTTGGAGTTCAGTGGTTAATGTGGGGGCTGGAGAGATGGCTCAGCGGTTAAGAGAGCCGGGCGTTCTTCTAGAGGTCCCGAGTTCAATTCCCAGCAACCACATGGTGGCTTACAACCATCTGTAATGGTATCTAATATCTTCTTCTGGCATGTAGTGCACATGCAGAGAGAACATCATGTACACAAAATAAATAAAATCTTTTTTTTTCCCCAAGGGGAGGGGGTTTATTCAAGAGATAGGGAAGAGGAGAGAGAGAGAGCAGAGAGGAGTAGAGGAGTGGAGGCCGGCCATGACCACGTGGAGAGAGGGGGAAGGGAAGGGGGGAAGGGCAAGGGGACAGAGAGAAGCTAGAGGCAAGAGAGTAAGAGCAAAATAAATAAAATCTTAAAAGAAAAGAGTGCTTAATGCTTTTGAGGAGGACCGAGCTTTGGTTCCCAGCATCCACATAGTGGCTCACAACCACCTGTAACTCCAGTTCTAAGGGCTCCGATGCCCTGTTCTGATGCCTGGAGTTTCTATATAGTATGTCTATATCGTACATATAAGTTCACAGAGCTACACAAAAATACACATCTATTATAAACAAAACTTTTAAGTCTGTCTAAAAAGGATTAAATTGGGAAATAAAGGGCCAGGTGTGGTACATGTCTTTAGTTCTGGCTCTCAGGAGGGAGGCGACATGGGATCTTCTCTTGAGAGGTAGCCTTGTCTACATGTCAGATTACAGGTCAGTGTTACATAAGACCATGCAGCCGCCCCTCCCCCATGAGAATTGAGGTAATATACCCAATGATAAGGATAGCCCATCAGAGATTAATTACTATTACCTTCTAGTGGGGTTCTGCTTTTTATTTTTGGGTACTGGCAGTGGGAAGGTGCCTTCCACTTTTCAATTCCGAGTTAAACTTGTACTATAGTTGAGATAGTTATGGGGGTCACCTAAAGTTTCTTTTTTAGAAATTTTGTTGAAATTGGCTTCAGTGATGAGATTACAAGCCTCCATGCTATGTATAGATAGCAGGACATGTTTACTATTGATCTCTCCTACAACCATGGCCAGATCCACACTGTCCAATATAGAAGATCACACGTGGTTCAGTCTAACATAGTTATAATTACGTTACTGAGTTGCACCACCTACATTTCAAAGTACTCAACAGCTACATGTATCTAATGGCTATGATCCCATGGATACAACACATTTCCAACAGAATGAACCGCCCATCCTGTACCTTTCCCAGGAAAGTAGCCTCAGATCTAATTTGCCAGCTTCTTTCCGCTCTTTTCTCTTAAATCTTTTTAATTTCATTTATTTTATCGTGTGTGTTTGTGTGCAGGGGCATCCTGGACCTGTGAAGGTCAGAGAGTAACTTAGATTCAGTGCTCTCCTTCCACCATGTGGGCCAGAGGGATGGAACCAGGTCTTAGGCTTGACAGGCCATCTTAACAGACCCTTAAATCTGCCCTTTTCTTTTTTTAAACTATGGGGAAAATGTTCCCTTTGGTTTGCATTATGAGTTAACTTCTCATAGTGATTCCTTGGGCGATTTCCTCGTTTAGCCTCATCCTTTTCACCTGTAATATGGAGATAATTCCGTAACGTTGGTAAGGAAAAAAAAAGGGGATATAAAGTATTGAGTACACGGTTAATTTGTCTCAACCTGCTTACTCCATGCATACTGTCTATGCAGAACGGTAATTCTAGTCTTCCTTTCTTCCAGACTTGGAGTGTGGGAGCTTGACAGGGTCTTATTCAGATTAATAATATCCCAACCAAGTAGCAGACAATTTAGCTTAGTTTAAGGAAGAAGGAGGAGGAGGAAAAGGAGGACGAGGAGAAGGAGGAGGAGGACGAGGAGAAGGAGGAGGAGGAAGAAGAGAAGGAGGAGAAGAAGAAGAAGAATTAGAAGAATAATTCTTCTAATTATTATTAGAAGACAGGTTTTAGATTTTCGGGAAAATTAAATATGGGGTGGGGACACTCTACATTGATGTTTTGGTAGGGAAGTGGTTGTTTGGGCATCGTGAGAACACCGACAATACTTTTGCACCAAAGGGTCTTGGAGTTACAAGACCTGAGAGTCGTCCAGCTTTCTTCCGGCCCCCAAACGTGGCAAGAACCCACCCTTTGCAGCGCCAGGCACCGTGCCTCACTTTCTCCATTTGCGGACTCCAGTTCCCAGGATGCAGAGCTGCGGCCAACCTCCGGGCTCTCTTTTCACCCCCCACCCCCCTTTGGCAAAGATTGTCCCCAGCCAAAGCAAGGAGTTCCAAGGGTCAGTTACTTTAGGGAACAGGATTGAAAAGTGGCCAGAATCCTAGCTTTACCACTCAGAAGGTAAAGGAGGCAGCTCCTGGGCCGCGGCGAAGAAGAGGGGGGCTTTATTCCCACGTGTCTGCCCGGCCGCCAGCCTGGCGCAGTCGGGGTTAATCTGCGGCGGAGGGATCCCGGAGCGTGTGCGTAGAACTGCAGAGTCACAGCCTTTCCTCCAAGAGGGCTGTACCCCTCCGCCGCCCCGATCCAACACAAAATAGGGCCTCCTCTTCTCTTTTCTCCCCTTCTTGAGTGGGGTTCCCCAGGCAAAAGGGGCCCCTGGATCTCGCGCCGGACGCTCCACGAGTCTCTACGACCGCTGCCCCGATCCCAGGCGACGACAGAGCCTCTTCGCAGGAACCACCCTACCGGCCGAGCAGGAGGCGGAGGGGGGAGGCGGAGCGGCGCCGCGCTGCACTACTTTCCTCTCCGGTTGCAAATGGCTGCCTCGTTCCCCACTTTCCGCTCAGTTTCCTGACCCCCCGGCGCCGGGAGCCGGGGTTGGACCATGCACCTCTAGACCCCCCGGGATCAGAGCTTGCCGGGGGTCTAGGGGGTGCTGCGGACCTCAGCCGGCCAGGCCGGGGGCGGGGCAGCTCCCGAGGCCAGAGGGGAAGGGAGGCGAGCGCTGGGCCTGGAGCGGCCGGAGGGGAGCGGGCAGAGGGCTCGCACCGCCCGCCCCTTCCTCTTCCTCGCCCACCAACCCTCCTCCCTTCCCCGGGGGGAGCAGAAGGTGGGGGGCTCGAAGCCGCCGAGGGGGGACGCTCGGGGTCGCGGAGCCCGGCGCTGGGTGTGTGTCAGGTTCGGCCCCGCCGGCTCCGCGTCGCCGTAGCTCGCGCGGCCCCGGGGCGCCGGCCGGGCGGGGAGAGGGGCTCGGCGCGGCTGCGAGGGGCTCACGTTCCATCCGGGCCCGGCGCGCGGCGCGGCGCGGCATTCCTTCCGGGCTGCTGGGGAGGCGCCTCGACGTTCCATCTGGAGAGCCTCGACGTTCCGCCCGAGCCCGGCGCGGGCGGCCGGGGCGCTGGCCGGGCCCTAGGACTGAGAGGCCGCCCCGCGACGCGGATGCGGAGCCTGCTCGCCCAAAATCAAAGCCACCGGTGCTCTCTTTGTGTCCGCTCGGGATTCGCCGCCCTGGGGCTGTTCATGGAAACCTAAACTGCTGGAACCTGAGGCAGAGAACCCCTCTTGGATTCTTGCTTTTTTTTTTTTTTTTTTCCCCCGGGGGAAGGGTGACCACTCCGACCTGGATTTACCGTTCTTGGCCTCCCTAAGCCCCCCCGAGTGGGGGGCGGCTGTGCTCGCTCTGGCGGTTGGAGGTCGGGGAGCGGCCCGGGCTCTGGCCATGTTCTCGGATGAGGATTTCTGGATCGCCCTGTGAAGAGGTGAGTGAAGTCCGCCCGGCCTGGGCCCAGAAAGGGTTGGACTGGGGGCACAGCCAGATGGACTATCTTGGCCAGTGCTGGCCTTTAGGTTGGAGAAAGGGGTGCCAGAGCTGAGAAGGGTTCCTTTGGCAGGGTCTGTCAAGGGAATCTGAGCCAGTTGCCACGGCAGAACGGAGGCCTGGTTTCTTGGGGTGTGCCTCTTTAAAGATTGGGGGTTCGGGGAACTACAGGAGTTTGGGAACATGTCCAGATAGCCTCTCTGCCTGTTTATTTTTGTGTTGAGGGAGTTCGACCAAACTAAGACCCAGGCCCTGATGCCAACACCAATCCCAGGCTGCTGTCCCCCACCCCCACCCCCACCCCCACCCCCACCCCCAGGGTTCCTTGGGACAGAGCAACTTGGTGGGTGGGGGGTGCCACTGCCAGGTCGGACTTTAATGTTTTTCCTACTTACCCAAGCACCCAAAACAATCTGTAGGAAACTCAAGGAACCCTGGGTCCTTCATCAGGGGGAGGGTGGGTGGAAACTGGTTACAAGAGGGGAGCTGGGGCAAGAGTGAGGTGGGGCTGTTGCAGCTCTGCCCCTGCTGTTCAACTTAACTACCTCTGCCTGGCAAAGTGACCCCAGCAAGGCCTAGTGGTGTCTTAGCCTGCATTGCTTCCCCTCCTCTTGGGATGGACATAATCTCCGAGGGGATTATAGAGGAGGCCGTTGAGATCTGTTCTCTACGAATGTGGGCTGCAAAAAAATGGCTTTTGTCTCTTGCTTTCTCTGGGCCTAGTGTAGAGTTAGCTGCCCATGAGTCCCTGGCCAATCCTGAAAGCCCCCGCCAGACCTCTACAATGCTTTTCTGGCTTCCGAATGGTAAATAGTTTTCAGGTGCTGCCCCAGCCCTGCCGAATAGGGTCACTTGTACCTCTTTGATGGGCAAATGACTTTATTTGTGCTCTTTTCTGCTGGAAGCCAGTGTTTCCAGCCCTGGTAGGAGGTGCTGGGTAGAAGGGGTGTGTGTGTACAGCAGGAAGGGTGCAGCATGAGCCTCCCGCCTCAGCCTCTGGGCCCTGAGCTGAGACAGCCTCTCTCACACCTGTCATGTTGCCCAGCAGGGATTTGGCTAGTGCGTTTTGCTCCCTGATTCCACCCCCTTCAAAATACATTTCCTAGATCTCCTTGAGTCTTGTCTCAGAAAGGGGAAAGTAGGGGGTTTGCCCTTGAAAGATTTCTGGGAGGTGGCATTGGAGTGTTGGAGTAAGGTGAGCTGTCATCTTCCGTCTCTGCCTCTCTTGTCTGCTGTTAGATAACATCCTTAGGTGGGACAGTACCTTGTTAGCTCTGGCTGCCCCCTAGGCTACCCAGGGACAACGTGTTACCATTTGGATCCTTCCTAGAGGGCTGAACGAAAATGGGGGTGGAGAGAGGTGTGGTTTGATTCTCTAGCTGGGAACCAGGAAGTCCTGAGTCCCACTGAAGAGCTGTTCACTCAAGGGCCTGCTCCAGCCTTTCACCCCTCCAAGCCTCCATTTCCTCCCTTGCAGAGAAAATGGAGTGAAGTCTATTGGTCTAGGGTGAACACAGGAAGCAGAGTGGTTGGAGTAAATCTCTGCCACCTTTCTTGCTGTTTTGGGCGTTTTAGATGTAAGACTCCAGGGTGTCAGCTCCCTCCCTAGTTTAGAGTAAGCCTGGCCCAGGTATTAGCCTAGTTTCGATCCAGGGAGAACCCCCTTGGGATATATGTGTGTCTCTGTTTACTGGCTGTGAGTGATGGGACGGGGGAACCTTTGGCTGTATTTGCTTAAATGCCTCCAGAGTACTTGATTGCTATGGCACTTGATATTTTGGTATAGATGCTGGGCTGAAAGCTTGAGTAGTTAGGGGCTAAGGTTTCAGGCTTCTTGGAGATGTCCCTGGACTCTTTATGATACAGAGAAAGGACAGTTTGCAGCTCAGTCTTGGGCCTTCCATGGCTCTGTAAGTGGGGTGCTTCCTGTGCTGGGGTTTCTACTTTGATCCTCAAGGCTAGATGAGGAAGGTAGTTTCTGTACCTTCTTGGGCAGTGCTAGCTTTAGCAGCCCGAAGAGCTGTGCTTGGGGGAGGGCCCAGGAATGTGTCCCTCTGGCCTTGTGTCAGGCGGCCCTCCTACCCGCTGTATTATCACTGTCGCCTTCTATTTGTTGCTGTTTGTGGCTCCCTTGGCCTCACTCTGAGAACAAAGTTGGTGGAGGATCTGTTAGGAAGATACGGTTAGATGCAAACATCTAGAAAACTTTAAAGTCCTCTTAGACCTTTGGTGCGACCAGGCCTTGAATGATTGGATGGGAAGAGGTCTTGGCTTGAGCCTTGACCTCCAGTCCCCGCTTCCCACAGGTGGCTTGTAAGGGCCTCTTGAAGTTCAGAGCATGCTCTGTAAACTGGCCAGATAAGCATCCTGCTTTCCTGCAAATGGATTGTTGCCTATGAGGCTTGGGAAGAGCTGGTCTGGGAACTGCGGTAATAGGTGTCAGGTGATGCTGGCCTCCTACCCTGGCAGGTTCAGAGTATTAGGAGGAGAGGAAAGAGGCGACTTGACTTCCACGAGGCTCGAGGGGGATCGACAACATTTGGAAATGAAATTGTGAGCGTAGGGAAGGCTACTGAGACTATGGTGGCTGGGAATTAATTTACTGATCATTGGCACTTTGAGGGTTCCCTTGTTATTCAGCCCCAAGCGATTGACTGGGGTATTTGCCTTCCAGTTTTAGAAGACAGGATTATCTGTACCCAGGTTGGTGTGATCACTGACTAAACAAGGGGAGTGGAAAACATGGGAGATGGATTTCTCAGACCTTTATCATTTACAGTTGTTTTTAAGGAAGTCTTTTTACCTCACACCACCTTTGGAAGCACTGGACACTGGTTGAGAAGAAGGCCCACCCTTCTCACCAACAGGTGCAGGCACTAATCCGTCTCAGCTTTCTTATGTCGGGTTTCTTTTCTATTCATAATCTTGGGAATTCTTGTCTGTTTAAACAGTTTTACTGTGGAGCTCTGGTTGGCCTGGAACTCTCAATGTAGACCAGACTGGTCTCCAACTTGCCTTTGATCCCTCTGCTTCTGTCTAACAAGTAATGGTGTTATAGGTATCTGCCACCAGGCCTAGCATCTCTGTAATTCTTACTCTTGACTCCTCTCAGTCTTTGTACTCAAGTGTGCTGCCTTGGAAGTCAGGGAAAATAATCCAGTGTTGTGTGAGTCTTAAGCTTTCAGATGTAGCTTTAGCGTGTTTCATTTGGTTTTGAGATACACTGGACTATATGAAAAAGGAAAGAGGGTCCGTTAACTCTTCGAGTATTTGGAAACTCAGCTTGACTTAAGAGGAAGGAAACTATTCTGCTCTGTTAAGTCCTGCCCCATTTAGCCCTCCTCCAAGTAGCAATGTGCTTCCTGAGACTACAACTCCCAGCATGCTTAGCCCCAGGCCTGCTTACACATGCTCAGTAACTCTTAAGGCCCACTTCTGTTAACTACTAGGAGCATCTAAGGAAGAAGGGCAGTTGGCGTTGCTAAGGGCAACAAACCTGAGGCCTTCATGTTAGGTGAGACCCAGGGCTCATTTAGGGCTGGGGCCAGTGGTGGTCCTGAGTTTCTTATGCCTGGCAATTGAGGTTCCTCGTGTTGTATTTGGGATATCCTTGTTAAGCAGTGGAGACCCATTCACCGCTATCCTTTAGTTTAGTGTCACGTTAAAGTGGGTTGCTACTTTGAGGCCTGTAGGATGGTAGCGGACATGCGACCTAAGAATAAAGGCCAAGGGATAGATGGGCCAAGGAGTTAAGATGAGACAGTGGATGTAGTTTTAGTTAGAATGATTGCCCTAGGAACTGTTACTGAGGAAGGTGGAAGTGGGAAAATGGAATAGATACCTGAGAATCCAGGATGAGAGAAGGAGGTATGTGTTTGGAGAAGAAGTGGGGTAGTGGGGTAAGAGTCAGAAAATGAACTCCCTAGTCACTACGACGGAGATTTGTAGACAAGATTTATCTCTGATGTCTAAAGGGTCTGCTTACCATTAACTGACTTCTTATAATGGGAAAAGGGCTCACTGGGGAAGCTTCATGGACACACAGGTATCTTTGGCACCAATAGGTCTCCCCGAGAGGGCCCTGCCCAGTCGGAGAGAGGGATGGACAGCCAGAAGCCGCCTGCTGAAGATAAAGATTCAGACCCGGCCGGTGAGTAGAACATGTTTCCCAGTTTGCTGATGGCTTTTGGCTCCTCACGGGTAGCCCTTTATTTCTGGTCCTGGCACAAGTCCTGGCTTGGTCTGAAATACACAGGTAATTGAAGAACTTTGTTCTTGGAGACAAAAGTTTAAATGCCACCTTCTGTCTGTTCATTCAGCTGATGGACTTGCAGCCCCTGAGAAGCCAGGTGCCACTGAGCCAGACCTTCCCATCCTGTGTATCGGGGAGGTCTCTGTCCCCAGTTCTGGGAGTTTCAGGCTTCAGAAGCCTCATGACTGCAGGTAACTTGTTTGTGAAAAAATAGGGCTTTATGAGCATATGGGGATTTGATTGGAGAGGCGAGGGCTTTTCAGAGGTTTGAGTGGGATACACGGGTATGCCAAATCACAGGGTAATGAGGGTGGGGGTACTGGCCGCCATGGTGCTGATGTCTGTGTCTCCACAGTAGGGGTCCAGCACGGCGTTGTGCTCTCTGTAACTGCGGGGAGCCCAGTCTGCATGGGCAGAGGGAGCTGCAGCGCTTTGAATTGCCATCTGACTGGCCCGGGTTTCCAGTGGTATCCTCTGGGGGAAGCTCAGGTCCCTGTGAGGCAGTGCTGCCCAATGAGGACCCATCACAAATTGGTTTCCCTGAGGGCCTTATGCCTGCCCACTTAGGAGAGCCTGGAGGTAAGTTGGTTTGGAAGCAGCGTAGAGGCTGGGCTGTCCTGATCTACTTACTGGTCACAGCATTAACCTGTTCCTTTCTGTTTGCTTCATTTCACCTCTCCAGGGCACTGCTGGGCACATCATTGGTGTGCAGCGTGGTCAGCAGGTGTGTGGGGGCAGGACGGCCCAGAACTATGTGGTGTGGACAAGGCCATCTTCTCAGGGATCTCACAGGTAGGGTTAATCAGATGATCCCATTGGTGAAGGCAGGGCTGGTGGGCTTCTGAGAGTCAGTGCAGAGTGGGCAGGACTGGAGAAGGGCTAACCTTTGTTGAGAGAGCTGGCCAGCTCTGAGGCTCCACCCATCCTTGCAGCGCTGCTCCCACTGCGCCAGGTTTGGTGCCTCCGTTCCTTGCCGCTCACCTGGATGTTCACGGCTTTACCACTTTCCCTGTGCGACCGCCAGTGGTTCCTTCTTATCTATGACAACGCTGCAGCTGCTCTGCCCAGAGCACAGTGATGGAGCTGCACGTCTGGGTGAGAAGAGCAAATGAGAGGCCAAGTGTGCCTTTGATTTTGGTACTCCGCAAAGCGTCATTCAGTCTAAAATGAACAGTCATTCTGTTCCAGTCAAATAGATGCAAACTTTGTGAGAACAGGGCCTCTGCCTGTGTGTACCTGTACGCAGATAGTCTGCCTGTGTGTGCCTGTACGCAGATAGTCTGACTGTATGCAGATACTCTGGTATCTGCAGAACCTAGACTAGTATACCTGTTAGCTCTGCATCCCTGTCTTCAGTAGTATGAGCTCTCCACAGCTGACCTGCTCTTCCCTTCCCTTTCTCCTGCAGGGGAGGCTCGCTGTGCAGTATGTGAGGGGCCAGGGGAGCTGTGTGACTTGTTCTTCTGTACCAGCTGTGGGCATCACTATCATGGAGCCTGTCTGGACACTGCTCTGACTGCCCGCAAGCGTGCTGGTTGGCAGTGCCCTGAGTGTAAAGTGTGCCAAGCCTGCAGGTAAGAGTGTGAGGGATGAAGTGTAGTCATTTGCAAAGTTTGGGCAGAAAATGAGGCTAGGAAGGATCCTACAATGTGTCCTGTGCCTTTTAGGAAACCTGGGAATGATTCTAAAATGTTGGTCTGTGAGACGTGTGACAAAGGGTATCATACCTTCTGTTTAAAACCCCCCATGGAGGACCTACCTGCTCACTCGTGGAAGTGCAAGGTGAGTGTCTTCTGATGCCACCTCCCGTTAGCATCTCCACAGTTGTCTTGAGCTGATGAGTCACATGCCTGCCTCTGTCTCCAGCTGTGGTCTGACTAGTGCCTGTCTTGCTTCCCTAGACATGCCGGATATGTCGGGCTTGTGGGGCCGGCTCAGCAGAATTGAATCCCAACTCTGAGTGGTTTGAGAACTATTCACTCTGTCACCGCTGTCATAAAGCCCAGGGAAGCCAGCCTGTCATTTCTGTTGCTGAACAGCACCCAGCTGTCTGTAGCAGGTAAGTAGTGTCGACTGAGGTCGGGCATCGGGAGGGACGAGACTGGAGGAGCCATGTTGAACAGGCGGCCAGTCAGCAGTGTAGTCTACCTCATTGACGCCTCGTCCCAGTAGGCTCTTTAGGAGTTGTTAGCTGGAGAGAGCCACAGTGCCTGCTCCCCTGTATCCTCTGCAGATTTTCACCCCCAGAGCCTGGTGAGATCCCCACTGATGAGCCCGATGCTCTGTACGTTGCATGCCAAGGGCAGCCAAAGGGGGGGCACGTGACCTCTATGCAACCCAAGGAATCGGGGCCCCTGCAATGTGAAGCCAAACCACTAGGTGAGTAGGGCTTAAAGGTCCCTGAAATTAATCCTTTGTGCTGTGGCAAGGGATACTTTGCTTTGCCTCAGACCCTGCACTTTTTGTGGAGTTAGATCTGAACTAGGTAGGAAGGTGATATGTTGTGTCTACAGGAAGAGCAGGGACCCAACTTGAAGCCCAGTTGGAGGCTTCCCTAAATGAGGAGATGCCACTGCTGCCCCCGCCTGAGGAGTCACCCCTGTCTCCACCACCTGAAGAATCACCCACATCTCCACCACCTGAGGCCTCTCGCCTGTCCCCACCAACTGAAGAGTCACCCCTTTCTCCACCACCTGAGTCATCACCTTTTACTCCACTGGAGGGGTCCCCCCCATGTCCTGCACTAGACACACCTCTGTCTCCACCGCCTGAAGCCTCACCCCTATCTCCACCATTTGAGGAGTCTCCTCTGTCCCCCCCACCAGAGGAATTGCCCTCTTCTCCGCCACCTGAAGCGTCTCGCCTGTCTCCACCACCAGAAGAGTCTCCCATGTCCCCTCCACCAGAAGAGTCACCCATGTCCCCTCCACCTGAGGCATCTCGTCTTTTCCCACCATTTGAAGAGTCTCCCCTATCTCCTCCCCCTGAGGACTGCCCTCTGTCCCCACCTCCAGAGGCATCACGGCTGTCCCCACCCCCTGAGGACTCCCCCATGTCTCCCCCACCTGAAGACTCACCTATGTCTCCCCCACCTGAGGTGTCACGCTTCTTGCCCATGCCTGTCCTGTCACATCTGTCGCCTCTGCCTGAGTTATCACGGCTCTCCCCACCACCTGAGGAATCTCCCCTGTCCCCACCACCTGAAGACTCTCCCACGTCACCTCCGCCTGAAGCTTCCCGAGTGTCCCCACCACCTGAGGACTCTCCGGCCTCACCTCCACCTGAGGACTCACTCATGTCTCTTCCGATGGAGGAGTCACCCTTGTCGCCACTGCCTGAGGAGCTGAGACTGTGTCCTCAGCCTGAGGAACCGTACCTGTCTCCTCAGCCTGAGGAGCCCCAACTCTGTCCCCAGCCTGGGGAGCTGCCTCTGTCCCCACAGTCTGAGGAGCCATGCCTGTCCCCTGTGCTTGCAGAGCCGCGCCCATCTTCTCAGCCTGAGGAGCTACGCTTGTCCCCTGTGCCTCAGGAGCCACCCCTGTCCCTTCAGCCTGAGAAACCACCCCTGTCCCCTCAGCCTAAGCAGATGCACCTGTCTCCCCAATCTGAGGAGCCCTGCCTGTCCCCCATGCCTGAGGAGCCCTGCCTGTCCCCCATGCCTGAGGAGCCATGCCTGTCCCCCATGCCTGAGGAACTACACCAATCTCCTCGGCCTGAAGAGCCTCCTGAGGAACCAAGCCAGTGCCCTGCACCTAAGGAGCTGTCCTTGTTTCCCCCAAGTGGGGAACCACCTTTATCCCCCATGCTTGGAGAGCCAGCCCTGTCTGAGCCTGGGGGACCACCTCTATCCCCACTTCCTGAGGAGCTGCCCTTGTCCCTGCCGGGGGAGCCAGTCTTGTCACCTCAGCTGATGCCACCAGGTAAGGAAGTATTAAGTCCCGTTACTCTGGGGCAGTCTTAACACTTTATGGCGTGTCTAATCTAAGAGCCTCTTTTTCTCTTCTCCCCCAGATCCTCTTCCTCCTCCACTCTCACCCATTATCCCAGCTGCAGCCCCTCCAGCCTTGTCTCCTTTGGGGGAGTTAGAGTACCCCTTTGGTGCCAAAGGGGACAGTGACCCCGAGTCACCATTGGCTGCCCCCATCCTCGAGACACCCATCAGCCCTCCACCAGAAGCCAACTGCACTGACCCTGAGCCTGTACCCCCGATGATCCTTCCCCCATCCCCAGGCTCCCCCATGGGACCTGCTTCTCCGATCCTGATGGAGCCGCTCCCTCCCTGCTCCCCGCTCCTCCAGCACTCCTTACCGCCTCCAACCCCTCCTCCTTCCCACTGCTCACCTCCTGCTCTGCCGCTCTCGGTTCCCTCCCCACTGAGTCCTGTGCAGAAGGCAGACGATGTCTCTGATGAAGCTGAGCTGCCTGAGATGGAGACTGAGAAAGGTCCAGAACCTGAGTGCCCAGCCTTGGAACCCAGGGCCACCAGTCCTCTGCCATCCCCTATGGGGGACCTTTCTTGCCCTGCCCCCAGCCCTGCCCCAGCCCTGGATGACTTCTCTGGCTTAGGAGAAGACACAGCCCCTCTAGATGGGACTGATGCTAATCCTTCACAGTCACGGACTGGACAGATCTCTGGCAGTTTGGCTAGTGAACTTAAAGGTTCTCCTGTGCTCCTGGACCCTGAGGAGCTGATCCCTGTGACCCCTATGGAGGTCTATGGCCCAGAATGCAAGCAGGCAGGGCAGGGCTCACCCTGTGAAGAACAGGAGGAGCCTGGTGCACCAATGGCCCCCATGCCACCCACTCTCATCAAATCTGATATCGTCAATGAGATCTCCAATCTGAGCCAGGGTGATGCCAGTGCCAGTTTCCCTGGTTCAGAGCCCCTGCTGGGCTCGCCTGACCCTGAGGGGGGCGGCTCGTTGTCCATGGAGCTGGGAGTATCTACGGATGTCAGTCCAGCCCGAGATGAGGGCTCTCTGCGCCTCTGCACTGACTCGCTGCCAGAGACTGATGACTCCCTGCTGTGTGACACTGGGACAGCAACCAGTGGAGGCAAAGCTGAGGGGGACAAAGGGCGGCGGCGCAGCTCCCCTGCCAGGTCCCGAATCAAACAGGTAAGAGGCTCTCGTGGCCCTGGGTGTGTTCAAGCTCATGCTGCTCTCAGTCACAGCCCGTGCTACCTTTGCACTTGACTTTCTGCAGCCTAGACTATAGCTGCTTTAGTCCAGCTCTGCCTCGCTGACCCCGATGCATAGAGCAGGTAAATGACTTACCCAGTTCATGGTCACTCAGAAATACAATTGGGACCAAAAACTTGGTACTCTCCAGTCATTTCTTGCTATCTTTGTCCTCCTGTGGTAGCTGTTCTTGGAAGGCGAGGTTGGTTTGGTAATTCCTCACTTAATATTTGTCAACACTTGGAAACTTGATGTCTTTTCTGTCCTCTGAGTGGGACACCTGGGTCGTTTTTAAAAAGCTGTTAGGCTCTGCATTTGTTGTCTTTCCCCCAGTCCTGTAATAGCCTCTCTCGTCACTTAGGGTCGGAGCAGCAGTTTCCCAGGGCGCCGCAGGCCTCGTGGAGGAGCAACACACGGAGGACGAGGGAGAGGACGGGCCCGGCTGAAGTCAACCACTTCTTCCGTTGAGACACTGGTAGTAAGGACAGGCTTTGCACCCCCACACATGCCTCACACACTCCTTAAAAGTTGAGCACACCTAGAGTCCTGTCAGTCTGTTGTTTGCCAGCAAGGTCCTGACTACTTGGCTCTGAGGAGTCTTGAGACCTCTGCCATTGGGCCCTAGCGGGGGGAATCTTGAGTGTTGTGCCTCTTCGGCCTGCAACTTAGCCAGGCATTCACACGTCTTCTCAGTGTGGGAAAGAGGGCAGCTTAGCCAAGGCAGACTTTGCTTCACTTGCTACAACTTTCTGCTTATTAAGGTGGCTGATATTGATAGCTCTCCTAGCAAGGAGGAGGAGGAGGAAGACGACGACACCATGCAAAATACCGTGGTTCTCTTCTCTAACACAGACAAATTTGTTCTAATGCAGGTACTGTATGGAGCTGGGATGGCCCAGCTTTTGCAGTGAGAGATGGCATGCCAAGTGCACTCTCGCTCCCGCTCCTGTGTGTGTGTGTGTGTGTGTGTGTCTGTGTGTGTGTGTATCTACTCAATTAGACCAGGAACATTTCCTAGGGAAGCACAGCTTCTCTGAATTCGGAGACGCACGGGACACCTGGTGACCTAGTGACTGTCTTAATACTGTGGGATGGGCTTATGATTGACTCCCTGGTCTTTGGCTGGGACTAGGGACAATAGACATGTTTGCAGGCCTGGGTAGATGGCTTTGGAGTAATGGTTGCTCTGCAAGCAAGAGGACCTGGGTTTAAATCCTAGGACCTATTTAAAAGCTGGCTATGGCCACACACGCCTGTACCAGTGTTGGGGAGGAGACAGGTAGGTCCCGGAGCTTGTTGACCAACCAGCTTAGTTGGAATTGTGAACTTTGGGTTCAGTGAGAGACTGTGTCTCAAAAAAAGGGGGGGATATAATAGAGGAAGACCTTTGACGTCTCCATATACGGTTCTCACCCCGCACCCCAAGACAGACAAACAGAGGAACGGAGATACAGAAGACAGAGGGATGTTTGCACATTGGGTCTTTTTTTCCTCTGCAGGACATGTGTGTGGTGTGTGGCAGCTTTGGCCGGGGCGCCGAGGGCCACCTGTTGGCCTGTTCTCAGTGTTCTCAGTGCTATCACCCGTACTGTGTCAACAGCAAGGTGAGCTCAGGGCCTGGAGTGTGTGGGTGGTGGGTAGAGTCAGTTCTCCATTACTCTAATTCCCCACACTGGGTGGGTTTGTTTGTTTGTTTGTTCTTGTTTTGTTTTTCGAGACAGTGTTTCTCTGTGTAGCCCTGGCTGTCCTGGAACTCACTCTGTAGACCAGGCTGGCCTCAAACTCAGAAATCCGCCTGCCTCTGCCTCCCAAGTGCTGGGATTAAAGGCGTGCGCCACCACCACCCAGTGACACTGTTTATTTTTATTTTACTACATTGGTCTGGTGTATAATTGTTGAGATCAGAGGACAACTTGTAGGATCATCTCTCTCCTTCCACCATGTGGATTCCAGGGATCACACTCAGGTCACCAGGCTTGGTGGCCAGGGCCTGTATCTGCTGAGCTGTCTCACAGCCTGACACTCAGTTCCTTAAAGTGGCTTTCAGAAGTCTTTGATCAGTTGTCAGTCCTGTCAAACTCAGGGAAAGGTGCTTTGGAATTTATAGCAGACATTGTAGTTTCTTTCCCTAGGCCACAACTTGCCAGTGTAATTCAGTCCGTTGTGTAATGCAGACCAATTTACTAGTAGAAGCCATGCTCTGTGGTCAGGAGTGGTGGCACACACCTTTAATCCCAGGCAGAGGCAGGCAGGTCTCTGTGAGTTTGAGGTCAGTCTGGTCTACAGAGTCAGCTCCAAGTCAGGTAGCGCCACACGGGGAGGCCCTGTCTCAAACAGACCACAGACCACGGTACCACAGTCTGGTACAGTCTGGGAGTAGATCAGAGAGTCGGAACTGGAGCCCTACCTGGGCAGACGGATGTCATTGTCTTTACCTAAGGTATAATCAGTCCTTTGGGTTTTTCTAAAAACCACCAATTTATTAATTAATGCACTAGTAACATTTATTAGCTTGTTTTAGTAACAGGTTCTAAAAATTAAGGAAAATTGAGGGAAATGAACTTTGTTCTGTCATCAGTTTGGTGCCTGCTTAATGGAAGATGTGTTGTTCACTCAGTGGGGCTATGCTTGGAGGGTCTCTGTTCAGCACAGCTCCTGGAAGCCTCTGTAGAGGCGCTTTTTGGGTACAAACACCTCTGTTCAGACATCTGCATAGCCATAGAAGCTCTGCACGTCCCTCTCCGACATCTAGCTGAGGTGTCTCCTTTTCCCCACCAGATCACCAAGGTGATGCTGCTGAAGGGCTGGCGTTGTGTGGAGTGTATTGTGTGTGAGGTATGCGGCCAGGCCTCTGACCCTTCACGCCTGCTGCTCTGTGATGACTGTGACATTAGCTACCATACATACTGCCTGGATCCTCCACTGCTCACTGTGCCCAAGGGTGGCTGGAAGTGCAAGTGGTAAGGAGAAGAAGCCTGGGATCTGACAGGAGGTGGTGAATGGGCCTGAGATACAGTTAGAACAGACACAATATTGAACGCACGATACCTTGTGTTCTCAGTGGGGTCACCTCTGGGATCCTGGGTCGGATGCTGAAGGTCTTTGTGCTTCTACTAGGTGTGTGTCGTGTATGCAGTGTGGGGCCGCGTCCCCTGGCTTCCACTGTGAATGGCAGAATAGTTACACACATTGTGGGCCATGTGCCAGCCTGGTGACCTGTCCTATCTGTCACGCTCCCTATGTGGAGGAAGACCTGCTAATCCAGTGTCGCCACTGTGAACGGTGAGGACATCCCTTTCTCCTCATGTCAGCTCCATGTGCTGCTGTCAGCAGCTGTGCCTGTGCTCACCCTGTTTTCCTTCTCTCCAGGTGGATGCATGCTGGCTGCGAGAGTCTCTTCACAGAAGATGAGGTGGAGCAGGCTGCCGATGAGGGCTTTGACTGTGTCTCCTGCCAGCCCTATGTGGTAAAGCCTGTGGGTGAGTATCGGGTTGGAGGAGGCACAGAGGACATGAGTGTTTTCCTTTGGACAGTGTCCTAAGCTGCCCTTTGTTTTGTCCTCCTTCCCGCAGTACCTGTTGCCCCACCAGAGTTGGTACCTATGAAGGTAAAAGAGCCAGGTAAGCCACAGACGTTTTGAATACCCAAACCAGCTAAGATCATAGACTGTCTCCTCTGCTCCAACCTCTGAGCTTAAGACTCGGGGTGAATGGCCAAGTCCGTGGCACAGTTATGATTAGAACCAAGGCTTTCCTGTTCCCAGATACGGTTCCTTTCACCGGGCAAATCAGCTTCTTTACTACAAGAATCTCATTCAAGAGAGCACAGCTTTCTTCTCACAGAAGGGACGAGGCTATCTTTTCTGCCACAGTGTGGGCACCACTCTTAGGAAGTGTACTGGCCTTCAGCAAGTCGAGTTCTTCCTATCTCTTGGCAGCTAGAGAATCTGTTTGGTGAAGCTGTGATCAATAGGTTCTGGACATAGCTAGGCTTCTGCAACAGCAGATTCATCTCAGGATCCCTCAGTCACTGGCAGAGCTTTCAGTGGCCTGCTGTCTCAGCCTTTAGAAACCAGCAGGACGTGGCTGTCACTGCTTGTGTCTCAGTTGGGAACATGGGTTGACATGTGGAGTTTTGGTTTCCTTGGGGCCTCTGTCCAGGGGTCATATGTTCTTCCCTGTTGTCCAGAGCCCCAGTTCTTTCGCTTCGAGGGTGTGTGGCTGACAGAAACTGGCATGGCGGTGCTGCGTAACCTGACCATGTCACCACTGCACAAGCGGCGCCAGCGGCGAGGACGGCTAGGCCTCCCAGGAGAGGCAGGGCTGGAGGGTTCTGAGCCCTCAGATGCCCTTGGCCCTGATGACAAGAAGGATGGGGACCTGGACACTGACGAGCTGCTCAAGGGTGAAGGTTGGGCTGGGGAATCTTAGAGAAAGGCAGATAGCGGGAGAAACACAACCCATATGAGTTGGGATGTTGGGTAGGGGCTACAGAGCCACTACTGGTCTTCCGCTCGCACTTCATTTTGCTCAGGTGGCATTGTGGCAGGTTACTGGGTCCCCTCTTGCAGTATGGCAAGGATAAAAGGGTCCATTTCTCTGATCTGCTTGTTTTCTGTTATATGCAGGTGGTGTTGAGCAAATGGAGTGTGAAATTAAGCTAGAAGGCCCCGCCAGCCCTGATGGAGAACTTGGCAAAGAAGAGACAGAGGAAAGCAAAAAGCGCAAGCGCAAACCCTATCGGCCGGGTGAGGCTCTGGAATTGGGTTGTGGGGCAGTAAGGGGCAACTCACAGGTTCTAGTGGCTTCTCATTCTTAATTCTGCTTTCTCTCAGGCATTGGTGGTTTCATGGTACGACAGCGGAAGTCTCATAGCCGTGTGAAAAGGGGGCCTGCTGTACAGGCGGAGGTGTTGAGTGGGGACGGGCAGCCCGACGAGGGTGAGACGGGTGAGGGCTCCCGTGGGGCCTGGGAGGAAGGTGGGGTCACAGCTGGGTCACAGCACGTGGGCAATGCCAGGGAGGCCAGGGTGTGCACTCACAGTGAGAAAGCAGGTGGAGGTGTAGTTGGTGGGGAACGCAGACATAGGTAGAAAGAGTTTCCAGCAGAGTCGAAGCATACCTGGTGTCTCCAGAAAGCCAGAGCCCTTCTCTTTTGTCTGTAGTGATGCCTGCTGACCTGCCTGCCGAGGGCTCTGTGGAGCAGAGCCTTGCTGAGGGGGACGAAAAGAAGAAGCAACAGCGACGAGCACGCAAAAAGAGCAAGCTGGAGGACATGTTCCCTGCTTACCTGCAGGCAGGCTCCAGACTCCCTGGGGGAGGGAAGGGACTGTGTCCACAGGCATCAAGAATCATTTCTCTTGACTCTTCCTGCAGGAAGCCTTCTTTGGAAAGGAACTGCTGGACCTGAGTCGGAAGGCCCTGTTTGCAGTTGGGGTGGGCCGGCCAGGCTTTGGACTGGTAACCTCAAAACCCCGGGCAGATGGAGGTTCAGATAGGAAGGAGCTTATGACAGCCTTGCACAAAGGTTAGTAAGAAGAAGTATTCTGGCCGGGCGGTGGTGGCGCACGCCTTTAATCCCAGCACTTGGGAGGCAGAGGCAGGCGGATTTCTGAGTTCGAGAGTTCGAGGCTAGCCTGGTCTACAGAGTGAGTTCCAGGACAGCCAGGGCTCCACAGAGAAACCCTGTCTCGAAAAACCAAACCAAAAAAAAAAAAAAAAAAAAGAAGTAGTAGTAGTATTCTGGGATGTCCAGCCTACCTTCTGCCTCGTAGTTGGCAAAGGTGTCTGGAGGAGGGGGTGGGGTGGAGTATTAACTAAGTGTGAGCCAAGGGCCCTGTTCTGGGCATCAGGCATCACTAGTCTCTGATTGGAGTGGGGCTATTGCTCATAGGAGATGATGGGCCGGATGTTGCAGACGAGGAGTCCCATGGGCCTGAGGGCACAGCTGAGATACCAGGTGAGGGCAGCTGCGGGGATTGGGGCCCATCTTGGATTGCTTGTTATCAGTTGGCTCTGCCCCTGAGCACTGCCAGAGTTGGAGCCTGGACCTCATTCCATGTCTTGTGGTCCGCATTGGCCCAAGGGGTGTGTCATGTCTGTATCCCGCTGACAATAGCTTTCTTTTGGTATTACAGGGCTTGAGGATGGGCGTGTAAAGGCATCCCCAGTGCCCAGTGACCCTGAGAAGCCAGGCACCCCAGGGGAAGGAGTGCTTAGCTCTGACTTAGACAGGATTCCCACAGAAGGTGAGGCCTGCATGGTGTCTTCTGTGTGTAAGGGTCCTCCATGGGAGAAGAAGTCCCCGTCTGGAATAGATCTGTACTTCTGGTGGGAGAGTCCTGCTTACCCTCCTTGGCCATGACCTGTAGGTCTGTAGTGTTGTGTGAGCCTCTCTTACTCGGCTCAGAAGTGTGTGTACCTTGTCATTCTCCCACAGAACTTCCCAAAATGGAGTCCAAGGACCTGCAGCAGCTCTTTAAGGATGTCCTGGGCTCAGAGCGAGAACAGCATTTGGGTTGTGGCACTCCTGGCCTAGAAGGCAGCCGTACACCACTGCAGAGGCCCTTTCTTCAAGGTACTTATGGCGGGGGTGCGGGGTGGGTGGCACTTCCAAGTCTGCTGTCGCCAGCCTTGTTTCCTGAGTAGGTCCGTGCTTCCTCTGCTCTGATCTTGTTGCCCTTGCAGGTGGACTCGCTTCGGGCAGCCTCCCCTCCAGCAGCCCGATGGACTCTTACCCAGGCCTCTGCCAGTCCCCCTTCCTGGATTCTAGGTTGGTATCTGTGCTTAGCTGTCCTGGGTGATCCTCGTTGCTCTTTCCTTCCATGTGGGTGCCTGCCTTGCCGCCCTTTGACTTGGGGCCACTAAAGAGATGACTCTCTTGTTTGCCCTGCCTTCCTTAAGTGGGCCAGAGCCGGGGCTTGGGTTTGCTGCACACTTTGTCCGGGGTGAGTCTTGAAATCCCTGCCCTATGTGACTCTCTGCCCCTGCGCCCCAGGGAGCGCGGGGGCTTCTTTAGCCCAGAACCCGGTGAGCCAGACAGCCCTTGGACAGGCTCAGGGGGCACCACACCCTCCACCCCCACCACACCTACCACAGAGGGAGAGAGTGACGGGCTGTCCTATAACCAGCGGAGTCTACAGCGTTGGGAAAAAGATGAGGAACTGGGCCAGCTCTCCACTATTTCACCTGTACTCTATGCCAACATTAACTTTCCTAATCTCAAGCAAGATTACCCAGGTATCTCTGGGCGAGGGCAAGGGAAACAGCCTGGCAGGTAGAGAGGTCTCCTCTGACTTGACCTTTCTGTTCCCCAGACTGGTCTAGCCGATGTAAACAAATCATGAAGCTCTGGAGAAAGGTTCCAGCCACTGACAAAGCCCCCTACCTGGTAAGACAGCATGGGCCATCGTGAGGCCTGAAGTACAAGCAGTTTTAGTGGCTTACCTCAGGTCCCTGTTCTGTCGTCTCCTAAGCAGCTGGGTGAGGAGGGACTGGTCTCTGGGGAGGCAGTATGATGGGGGGATGCGAGCGGGGCTGGAGGGTGAGCGAAGCCCTGTGTTGTTTCCTGTGTCCCTCAGCAAAAGGCCAAAGATAACCGGGCTGCTCACCGCATCAACAAGGTGCAAAAGGTGAGTGGGTGGCCTTTCTAGGACTGGGGGACGTGGATCATACTGTCAGTCAGCAGCCTGACGGCTCCACTTGGTCTCCCTGTAGCAGGCTGAGAGCCAGATCAGCAAGCAAGCCAAGATGGGCGACATAGCCCGTAAGACTGATCGACCGGCCCTCCATCTCCGCATCCCCTCCCAGCCAGGGGCACTGGGCAGTCCACCCCCTGCTGCGGCCCCCACCATTTTCCTTGGCAGCCCCCCCACCCCTGCTGGCTTGTCTACCTCTGCGGACGGGTTCTTGAAGCCACCAGCGGGCACAGTACCCGGCCCTGACTCACCTGGTGAGCTCTTCCTCAAGCTCCCGCCCCAGGTGCCCGCCCAAGTGCCTTCGCAGGACCCCTTTGGACTGGCCCCTGCCTACGCCCCAGAGCCCCGCTTCTCTGCGGCACCACCCACTTATCCTCCTTACCCAAGCCCCACTGGAGCCCCTGTCCAGCCCCCAATGCTGGGTACCACAACTCGACCTGGGACTGGCCAGCCAGGGGAGTTTCATACGACTCCACCGGGTACCCCCAGACACCAGCCTTCCACACCTGACCCTTTCCTCAAACCTCGCTGCCCCTCATTGGACAACCTGGCTGTGCCTGAGAGCCCAGGGGTAGCAGGAGGCAAGGCTTCCGAGCCTCTGCTCTCACCCCAACCTTTTGGGGAGTCCCGGAAGTCCCTGGAAGTGAAGAAGGAAGAGCTTGGGGCATCCTCTCCTGGCTATGGTCCCCCAAGCCTGGGCTGTGTCGACTCACCCTCTTCAGGCCCCCACCTGGGTGGTCTGGAGTTAAAGGCACCTGATGTCTTCAAAGCTCCCCTAACCCCTCGGGCATCTCAGGTAGAGCCCCAGAGCCCGGGCCTGGGCCTACGGGCCCAGGAGCCACCCCCTGCCCAGGCTTTGGCCCCTTCTCCTCCCAGCCACCCAGATGTCTTTCGTCCAGGCCCATACCCGGACCCCTATGCCCAGCCCCCATTGACTCCTCGGCCCCAACCACCACCCCCTGAGAGCTGCTGTGCCCCACCTCCCCGATCACTGCCCTCTGACCCTTTCTCCAGAGTACCCGCTAGTCCCCAGTCCCAGTCCAGTTCCCAGTCCCCATTGACCCCACGTCCTCTGTCGGCTGAGGCGTTCTGTCCATCCCCTGTTACCCCTCGCTTCCAGTCCCCTGACCCTTATTCTCGTCCACCCTCACGCCCTCAGTCCCGTGATCCCTTTGCCCCGTTGCATAAGCCACCCCGGCCCCAGCCCCCTGAAGTTGCCTTTAAGGCTGGGCCCCTAGCCCACACTCCGCTGGGAGCTGGGGGCTTCCCAGCAGCCCTGCCCTCTGGCCCAGCAGGTGAGCTCCATGCCAAGGTCCCAAGTGGGCAGCCTACTAATTTTGCCCGTTCTCCTGGGACGGGTGCATTTGTGGGTACCCCATCTCCCATGCGGTTCACTTTCCCACAGGGGGTAGGGGAGCCTTCCCTAAAGCCCCCCGTCCCTCAGCCTGGTCTCCCTTCACCCCATGGGATCAACAGCCATTTTGGGCCTGGCCCCACTTTGGGCAAGCCTCAAAGCACAAACTACACCGTAGCCACGGGGAACTTTCACCCATCAGTCAGCCCCCTGGGGCCCAGCAGTGGGCCCACAGGGGAGGGCTATGGGCTGTCCCCACTACGCCCCGCATCAGTTCTGCCACCTCCCACACCTGATGGATCCCTCCCCTACTTGTCGCATGGAGCCTCACAAAGGGCAGGCATCACCTCTCCAGTGGAAAAGAGAGAAGACCCCGGAGCCACAATGAGCAGTGGCTCTTTGGCAACCCCTGAACTCTCAAGTGCCCAGGATGCAGGCATGTCCAGCCTCAGCCAGACAGAGCTGGAGAAGCAACGGCAGGTGAGTGGATAGCCTACAGCTGCTCACACCTAGTGTGTATTGTCTCCACCAGCCTGTGACTAGAGTGGATTGGACTGACTTCTCTGTTTTCTGGACAGCGCCAGCGACTACGGGAACTGCTGATTCGACAGCAGATCCAGCGGAACACCCTGCGGCAGGAGAAGGAAACGGCTGCAGCGGCTGCAGGTGCAGGCGGGCCTCCAGGCAGCTGGGGTGCTGAACCCGGCAGCCCTGCCTTTGAACAGCTGAGCCGAGGCCAGACCCCTTTTACTGGGTCTCAGGTAGGTAGATTGGCAAGGGGTGGTGGGGCCAGTGTCCTGACGGTGGCTACACCTTCATCTGCTTCTGTCTTCTAGGATAGGAGCAGTATTGTGGGGCTACCCTCAAGCAAGCTCGGTGCTCCCGTCCTGGGACCAGGAGCCTTCTCCAGCGATGATCGACTCTCCCGGCCGCTTCCACCAGCCACTCCTTCTTCCATGGACATGAACAGCAGGTGAGGTTCCAGGGTGTGTGTGTGTGTGTGTGTGTGTGTGTGTGTGTGTGTGTGTGTGTGACAGACTTACTTCACCATCACTACATTCTGCCTCCGATCTTTTCCCTATCACTGATCCTTCTGTTCTGACTTCCTTCCTTCCCTCCCTCACTGCGTCTTTCCTCACTAGTGTAAGCCTCTGCTCTGCCCTTCATGCTGATTGATTCTCATAGATGACTGCATATTTTTCTAGGCAACTTGTCGGAGGCTCCCAGGCCTTCTATCAGCGAACACCCTATCCTGGGTCCCTGCCCTTACAGCAGCAGCAGCAGCAGCAGCAGCAACTGTGGCAGCAGCAGCAACAGCAGCAGCAACAGCAGCAACAGCAGCAGCAGCAGCAACAGCAAGTGGCAGCAGCAGCAACCTCCATGAGACTTGCCATGTCTGCTCGATTCTCAACTCCTGGACCTGAACTTGGCCGCCAAGCACTAGGTTCCCCCTTGGCAGGAATTCCCACCCGTCTTCCAGGCCCTGCTGAGCCAGTTCCTGGTCCAGCTGGTCCTGCTCAGTTCATTGAGTTGCGACATAATGTGCAGAAAGGACTTGGACCTGGGGTATCTCCGTTTCCTGGTCAAGGTCCCCCTCAGAGGCCCCGTTTTTACCCAGTAAGCGAGGAACCCCATCGACTGGCTCCTGAAGGTCTTCGGGGCCTGGCTGTTTCAGGCCTTCCCCCACAAAAGCCCTCAGTTCCACCAGCCCCTGAGTTAAACAACAGCCTGCATCAGACACCCCATACCAAGGGTCCTGCCTTAGCAGCTGGCTTGGAGCTGGTCAGTCGTCCACCATCAGGCACTGAACTTAGTCGTCCCCCTCTGGCCTTGGAGGCTGGGAAGTTGCCTTGTGAGGATCCTGAGCTGGATGATGACTTTGATGCCCACAAGGCCCTAGAGGATGATGAAGAGCTTGCTCACTTGGGTCTGGGTGTGGATGTGGCCAAGGGCGATGATGAACTGGGTACCCTGGGAAACCTGGAGACGAACGACCCCCACCTGGATGACCTCCTCAATGGAGATGAGTTTGACCTGCTAGCGTATACTGACCCTGAGCTTGATACTGGAGATAAGAAGGACATCTTTAATGAGCACCTAAGGCTGGTGGAGTCAGCAAACGAGAAGGCTGAGCGAGAAGCCCTGCTGCGGGGGGTGGAGCCAGCATCCTTGGGCCCTGAGGACCGTCCTCCACCTGTCCCAGATAACTCCGAGCCTCGCTTAACATCTGTGCTCCCTGAGGTGAAGCCCAAAGTGGAGGAGGGAGGACGCCATCCTTCCCCTTGCCAGTTCACCATGAATACCCCCAAGGTGGAGCCAGCACCTCCTGCCACTCCACTAAGCCTGGCTCTGAAGCCAGGGCAGACTGTGATGGGTGGCCGGGACACTCGAGGAGGAGGAGGAGGTACAGGACCATTCCCCAGCAGTGGGCACACAGCTGAGAAGGGTCCATTCGGGGCCACAGGAGGAACACCAGCTCACTTGCTGAACCCCAGCTCACTGAGTGGCCCAGCTGGATCTTCTCTTCTGGAAAAGTTTGAGCTAGAAAGTGGAGCCCTAACCTTACCCAGTGGCCATGCAGCCCCTGGGGATGAGCTGGACAAGATGGAGAGCTCGTTGGTAGCCAGCGAACTGCCGCTGCTCATTGAGGACCTCCTAGAGCACGAGAAGAAAGAGCTGCAGAAGAAGCAGCAGCTTTCAGCACAGACCGCGTTGCCAGCCCAGCAGCAGCAGCAGCAGCAGCAGCAGCAGCAGCAGCAGCAACAGCCCCTCCTTCCCACACCAGGCCCTGCCCAGGCACTGCCTTTACCACATGAGCCTGGGCCGCCACAGCAGCTTGCTCTGGGTCTTGGGAGTACCCGACAGCCAGGCTTGGGCCCATCTATGATGCCCACCCAGTCACCAGCTCATGCCCTTCAGCAGCGCCTGGCTATGGTGTCTAATCAAGGGCATATGCTAAGTGGGCAGCCAGCAGGACAGACAAGCCTGGTGCCCCAGCAGAGCTCACAGCCAGTGTTAGCACAGAAGCCCATGAACGCCATGCCAGCGCCCATGTGCATGAAGCCCCAGCAGCTGGCAATGCAGCAGCAGCAGCTGGCTAACAGTTTCTTCCCAGACACAGGTAACTTCACATTGCCATCTAAGTGTGTGATGCTGCTTGTCACCAAGTGGGCACTTACTCTAGGGAAGGGTGGTGGGACGCCAGGGACGTTGGTGAAACAGCAAAGCACTGTAGGCAGAAAGTCGGAGCTTTTGAGAGGATGGAGGGATGGAGCCTGATTAGCAGGGCCTTCATGTCTGGTTAAATTTGGAGTTTGGAGAGAAGTATACAAGGATATGCAATCCAGGTGCATGAAAGGTTAAGTACAGCTGTGGAGAAGAGCAGTAAACGGTGTGGTGGAGCTGGCACTGCTCCTGTCTCAGTGGCTCCTGGTGAGGAGCTTCTCAGAGTGACCACATTATTGGATAGTCACTGTGTCAGGTGCTGTTTGCCACTAAGTGCTCGATTTCATCATAACAGACTCATGAAATAGGTGTAGTTGGTTATAGAAGATTTTTTTTATTTTGATTATAGAAGAGGAAACTGCCGGGCGGTGGTGGCGCACGCCTTTAATTCCAGCCCTTGGGAGGCAGAGGCAGACGGATTTCTGAGTTTGAGGCCAGCCTGGTCTACAGAGAGAGTTCCAGGACAGCCAGGGCTATACAGAGAAACCCTGTCACGAAAAAAAAAAAAAAATGTATGGGCTGGTGAGATGGCTCAGTGGTTAAGAGCACTGACTGCTCTTCCAGAGGTCCTGAGTTCAAATCCCAGCAACCACATGGTGGCTCACAATCATCTGGAATGATATCTGATGCCCTCTTGTGGGGTGTCTGAAGACAGCTATGGTGTAGTTACATATAATAATAATTAAACAAAACAAAACTGGGCAGTGATGGCGAACGCCTTTAATCCCAGCACTTGGGAGGCAGAGGCAGGCGGATTTCTGAGTTTGAGGCCAGCCTGGTCTACAGAGTGAGTTCCAGGACAGCCAGGGCTACACAGAGAAACCCTGTCTCAAAAAAAAAAAAAAAAAAAAAGAAGAGGAAACTGAGGCACAAAAGTTAAGTAACCTGTCTGAGATGATACAAGTAAGAGAGCTGGATCTGAACTCACTGGCAGTGAAAGGTCACGGGATGAGACTAGTTAGTCCTTTACAAGCTGAGGGTCAGCTTTCTGACCAGGGGAGATGGATGACTGCAGGCTAGGCATGGTGCTGCACACCACAGTACTCAGAGACAGGCAGGAGGAGCTCGGAGTTCAAGGCCAGCCTACTCTACATAGTGAGTTCCAGGACAGCCAGAGACAAATAGGAGGATCCTTTCCCAAATAAACAATTAATTAAACAAAAGCACCCTAGAAGTGTAAACCAAAGTGTAGGGGTTTTAGATTTTTTTTTTTTTCTGCTTGCTTTATGGGTTTGCTTGTTTGTTTGTGGGGGAGGGCATAAGAGTAGGATGGGAGGTGAGATAGGATCTCATGTACCCCAGGCTAACCCCAGACTCACTCTGTATATGAGGATGTTAAATTTAGGATTCTTCTGTCTCACCCATCAAGCGCTGGAATTATTGGCATGTGTCACCATACCTGGTTTATTCTAGTTTGTTTTGTCCTTTAAGGCAGGGTCTCACTATATACCACAGGCCTGCCTTAAATTTAGAATCTTTTATAGTAGCCTCCGTGTGCTGGAATTACAGCTGTGCACAACTGTGCCCTGTTTATTGTGTTTTGTTTTTGTTTCCTCAGTCGGAGGCTAGCAGGACAGTGGGCTGTTGGATGATGTTTTTGTGTCAGAGACAACTGCTGTCTAAGGTTTTGCCACAGCGAGTGCCTCCACCTTGGGTGACTGAGCTCTGTTGGGTTGTAGAATACTACTTGCAAGAGTTCTGTCTGGCTCAGCAAGCACGCCTTTATTGCCACATGATCCTGTCTAGCACCAGGAGGTGGGCAATCTTTGTCTCTCATCAAGTGAGGGAAACTGAGGCTTAAACAGTAGAGTGGCGCCGGCTGACTGAACAGATGCTCACTGATGCCATTTTCTTACAGTGTACAAACACAAGGACCATGTTTCAGGTCATTAGTTCTGCATCACCAAGTTCCTGGCTTAGCCGAGTGGACTTGCCACGTCATTGTTCTTTATGTAGAGGTCAGGGCATTGGGGTAAACAGCCATCATGCTACGGAGCCTTGACTCTCAAACCCAACACATTCCTCTCCTCCTTCCTCAGACCTGGACAGATTTGCTGCTGAAGACATCATAGATCCAATTGCAAAGGCCAAGATGGTCGCCTTGAAAGGCATCAAGAAAGTGATGGCTCAGGGCAGCATTGGGGTGGCGCCTGGTATAAACAGGTGAGTCTTGGGACTTGGGTGGGGCTGACTTTCCCTGTGACATCTCGGTCCTGGTTCCCTCCCAACATGCCCATTGCTTTGTATGTCACCTGTGCCCTCATTGACACCAGAATTCCCTATGCTTTATAAACTGTAGGCAGCAAGTTTCACTGCTGGCTCAGAGGCTCTCTGGGGGGTCTGGCAGTGATCTTCAGAACCATGTGGCACCTGGGAGTGGCCAGGTAAGGGGAAAGTAGAAACCTATGTACTATCTCACTGGGCTGTCTTCATAGGGCCTGCCATGGAACAATGACCTTCTAGAAATCTCTCTTTCCACAGGAGCGGAATGCCAGTGACCCTTCCCAGCCTCGTCCCAACCCACCCACTTTTGCCCAGGGAGTGATCAGTGAGTATGGGCAGAGAAGGAGGGTGCAAAGTAGCGGGTAGGAATTGGGAAGAAGGTCACTGTTTTGTGGGTCTTACCATACAAGGTCTGTTCCCAGATGAGGCTGACCAGCGGCAGTATGAAGAATGGCTGTTCCATACCCAGCAGCTCCTACAGATGCAGCTGAAGGTGCTGGAAGAGCAGATTGGTGTGCACCGCAAGTCTCGGAAGGCTCTGTGTGCCAAGCAGCGCACTGCCAAAAAGGCTGGGCGCGAGTTCCCAGAAGCCGACGCTGAGAAGCTCAAGCTGGTCACAGAGCAGCAGAGCAAGATCCAGAAGCAGCTAGACCAGGTGAGGAGTTCAGCTTCGAACCCAGAGACCAGGGAACAGGGACAGCGGGGTGGGCAGTCTCCAGGCTGACCTTTCCAACCCTCCTATGTTAGGTCCGGAAACAGCAGAAAGAGCACACAAATCTCATGGCAGAATATCGGAACAAACAGCAGCAGCAGCAGCAACAGCAACAGCAGCAACAGCAGCACTCAGCTGTACTGGCTGTCAGCCCTTCTCAGAATCCTCGGGTCCTCACCAAGCTCCCTGGCCATGGGTTACAGCCACCACAGGCACCTCCGGGTGGGCAAGCTGGAGGGCTTCGTCTGCCTCCAGGGGGTATGGTACTACCTGGACAGTCTGGTGGTCCATTCCTCAATACTGCCTTGGCCCAACAACAGCAACAGCAGCATTCTGGTGTGGCTGGATCCTTGACTGGCCCCTCAGGGAGCTTCTTCCCTGGCAATCTTGCTCTCCGAAGCCTTGGACCTGACTCGAGGCTTTTACAGGAAAGGCAACAACAGCTGCAGCAGCAGCGAATGCAGCTGGCTCAGAAACTGCAGCAGCAGCAACAGCAACAGCAGCAGCAGCAACACCTCTTAGGGCAGGTGGCAATCCAACAACAACAGGGTCCCGGAGTACAGAACCAGGCTCTGGGTCCTAAGCCTCAGGGCCTTCTGCCTCCCAGCAACCACCAGGGCCTCCTGGTTCAACAGTTGTCCCCCCAGCAATCACAGGGGTCCCAGGGCATGCTGGGTCCTGCCCAGGTGGCAGTGCTGCAGCAGCAGCACTCTGGAGCTTTGGGTCCTCAGGGCCCTCACAGACAGGTGCTTATGACTCAGTCCAGGGTGCTGAGCTCCCCTCAGCTGGCCCAGCAGGGTCACAGCCTTATGGGACACCGGCTGCTCACAGCCCAGCAGCAGCAACAGCAGCAGCAGCAGCAGCAGCAGCAGCAGGGATCTATGACAGGGATTTCCCAACTTCAGCAAGGAATGATGTCACATGGTGGACAGCCCAAAATGAGTGCTCAGGCCTTGGGTTCTTTACAACAGCAGCAGCAGCAGCAGCAGCAGCTACAGCAGCAACAGATGCAACAGATGCAACAGCAGCAACAACAACAGCTGCAGCAGCAGCTACAGCAGCAACAGATGCAGCAGCAGCAACAACTGCAGCAGCAGCAACAGCTGCACTTGCAGCAGCAGCTGCACCAGCAGCAACAGATGCAGCAGCAGCAGATGGGCCTCTTGAACCAGAATCGAACTTTACTATCTCCGCAGCAGCAGCAGCAGCAGCAGCAGCAGCAGCAGCAGCAGCAAGTGACACTTGGCCCTGGCATGCCAGTCAAGCCTCTTCAACACTTTTCTAGCCCTGGAGCCCTAGGCCCAACCCCCCTCCTGGCAGGCAAGGAGCAAAACATTACAGAGACAGCGCTTCCTTCAGAGGTCACTGAGGGACCCTCGACACATCAAGGAGGGCCACCAGCAGTGGGGACTACACCTGAGTCAATGTCTGTTGAACCAGGGGAGGTAAAGCCCTCTGTTTCTGGAGATTCACAACTCCTGCTTGTCCAATCCCAGGCCCAACCTCAGCCCACATCAGTGCAGCTGCAGCCACCGCTCAGGCTCCCAGCACAACCCCAGCAGCAGGTGAACTTGCTTCCCACGACAGGTGGAGGAAGCCATGGGCAGCAGCTAGGGAGTGGATCCTCCTCTGAGGCCCCATCTGCACCCCACCTGCTGGCCCAACCCTCTGTTTCCTTGGGGGAGCAGCCTGGACCTGTGGCCCAGAACCTTCTGGGCTCCCAACAGCCCCTTGGGTTAGATCGACCCATTCAGAATAACACAGGGTCACAGCCTCCCAAATCGGGACCTGCCCCTCAGTCTGGTCAGGGTCCTCCTGGAGTTGGAGTCATGTCTACAGTGGGTCAACTTCGAGCACAGCTCCAAGGAGTCCTGGCCAAAAACCCGCAGCTACGGCACCTGAGCCCACAGCAGCAGCAGCAGCTACAGGCACTCCTCATGCAGCGACAGCTGCAGCAGAGTCAGGCAGTACGCCAGACTCCACCGTTCCAGGAGCTGGGGACCCAACCCTCTCCCCTCCAGGGCCTCCTGGGCTGTCAACCTCAACCTGGGGTTTTTTCTGCATCTCAGACAGGACCCCTCCAGGAGCTAGGGGCGGGCTCTAGACCTCAGGGCCCACCCCGGCTCCCTGTCCCACAAGGAGCCTTATCTACAGGACCAGTGCTTGGCCCTGGCCATCCCACACCTCCACCTTCCAGTCCCCAAGAGCCAAAGAGACCTTCACAATTACCTTCCCCCAGTACCCAGCTAACCCCAACCCATCCAGGGACTCCAAAGCCCCAGGGGCCAGCCTTGGAGCTGCCTCCTGGGAGGGTCTCACCTGCTGCTGCCCAGCTTGCAGATACTTTCTTTGGCAAGGGGCTAGGACCTTGGGACCCCTCAGACAACCTCCCAGAAGCCCAGAAGCCAGAGCAGAGCAGCCTGGTACCCGGGCATCTGGAACAGGTGAATGGACAGGTGGTACATGAACCATCTCAACTCAGCATCAAGCAGGAGCCTCGGGAAGAGCCATGTGCCCTGGGTGCACAGACAGTGAAAAGGGAGGCCAATGGGGAGCCAGCTGGGGCCCCGGGCACCAGCAACCACCTCCTGCTAGCAGGCTCCCGCTCAGAGGCTGGGCATCTGCTCTTGCAGAAGCTCCTACGGGCAAAGAATGTGCAACTTGGTGCTGGGCGGGGACCTGAGGGCCTGCGAGCTGAGATGAATGGACACATTGACAGCAAGCTGTCAGGGCTGGAGCAGAAGCTACAGGGTACTTCCAGCAACAAAGAGGTAAGTCCTTTGGATAGAGTGATGTAGCAGTGGAGGTCAGTCGAGCAGGGCCGGGTCAGAATAGGGAAAGGCAGTGGTCTTCACAGTGCTTCTGTGGTTTAGGATGCAGCCACAAGGAAGCCTCTGCCGGCGAAGCCCAAGCGGGTGCAGAAGACAAGTGACAGATTGGCGAGCTCCCGGAAGAAGCTGCGGAAAGAAGATGGCGTCAGGGCCAATGAGGCCTTATTGAAACAGCTAAAACAGGTGATCCCCAGGAGCCAGTCCCGTGGACTCCCCCTGGATAGGAGGATGGGTAGCCTGTCCTCCGAGGTCTGAAGGGTGGCTGTAGGTGCTGCATCTGACAGCATTGTCATCTCGCCCCTCCTAGGAACTGTCCCAGCTGCCGCTGACGGAGCCTACCATCACCGCCAATTTTAGCCTCTTTGCTCCCTTTGGCAGTGGCTGCCTAGTCAGTGGGCAGAGCCAGCTCAGGGGGGCCTTTGGAAGTGGGGCTCTGCACACCGGCCCTGACTACTATTCTCAGCTGCTCACCAAGGTCAGAAAAATGGCAATACTTTTTGGGAATAAGATTCTTGGGGTTGGAGGTGGGGATGAAAGACTGGAGGAACATGCTGGTGTAATGTGGGGCCAGGAGATGATTCCAGTCTCCCTATGCCGTCTTGCACACAACACCCACCCCACCCCCCAGAATAACCTGAGTAACCCGCCGACACCACCCTCGTCGCTGCCCCCCACCCCACCCCCATCGGTGCAGCAGAAGATGGTGAATGGTGTCACTCCCTCTGACGAGCTGGGGGAGCACCCCAAGGACGCAGCCTCTGCCCAGGACAGTGAAGGAACACTGAGAGGTACGTGAGAAGCTGGTCTCTCTTGGGACTTGATGGATGAGTTCCAGCCATGCAGTGGTGTCCTGCCACTCGATATCAGCAGACGAAAGGGTTGCATAGTACCCTGTGCACTGCACCGAGACATTTGGTGGGTAGGGACTGTTTGGAAGGGTGGGCTTCTAGAGGCTTGCAAAAGCAACGGTGAATCTGAGGGAAGCTTTGTGAGAAGAAACAGTCCAGTGTTCATGGCTATGGAACCCTTTCTGATGTACATTTGAACTCTAGCACATGAGTGTGTTTAGCTGTGATGCTTGGAACAAGTAGATTGATTGACTTGTTTGAACCATGATGTCCTCCTTATAGACCGGATACTGTAAAGTTTATCTCAGTTGTTAAAAGATGTAAAGATGTAAATATGGAGTGGCACTGTGACTCAGGGGCTAGGATCGTGCCTGATGCTGAGGAAGAAAGACAAGAGAGATTATGCGTTTGACGTCAGCTAGCCTGTGCTACATGAGTGTCTTGAAATACATGTAGCACACAAGCAAAGGCTCCATGTGTATAGTTTTCCTGTTAGTTGAGTAGATAGTTGATCACAATATATGGTTGACCCTGAGGTGCTGGGGACAGAACAGCTCTCCACACTCACCTTGACTGTCCTCCCTCCTACCCCTCAGATGCTGCAGAAGTGAAGAGTTTAGACCTGCTGGCTGCTCTGCCTACACCCCCTCACAACCAGACTGAGGATGTCAGGTAGGGAACAGGGAGGAGGGTTTCGGTTATGGCCACACCTTCTGGTCTCTAGCTCTGAGCAGGAGAATCCGGAAGACTGGATCAACACTGTTTGCATCCAACCTGCAGGATGGAGAGTGATGAGGACAGCGACTCTCCTGACAGCATTGTGCCTGCTTCATCCCCTGAGAGCATCCTTGGGGAAGAGGCCCCACGTTTCCCTCAGCTGGGCTCTGGCCGGTGGGAGCAAGACAACCGGGCTCTCTCTCCCGTCATCCCTATCATCCCTCGCACCAGTATCCCTAGTAAGTGCCGCTTACTGCGTGGGCCGGCGCAGGGTGGTGGGGAGTCAGGCGAGGGCAGGGATGGAAAGTGACTGAAACACATTCTCTCTCTGTCCAGTCTTCCCAGATACCAAACCTTATGGGGTCCTTGACCTTGAGGTCCCTGGAAAGCTGCCTGCTACAGCGTGGGAGAAGGGCAAGGGGAGTGAGGTGTCAGTCATGCTCACAGTCTCTGCTGCCGCCGCCAAGGTATGTCCCGGGGGTACCATGGGGTCAAGGAGAACTTGGGTCAGAGGGCAGCCTTCAGAACTTGTCTGGATAAAAAAAAGTTACAACTGTTTAAATATTTGTCCTGAGTACCTGCTTTTTTAAAGAGAGGGTGGGCTAAGGACTGGGCTCGGTGAGGGAAGTGGAGTCCCTCGTAGGGCTCATCATCCACAGATAAAGGAAGAGGCAGTCAACCAACAGACTGTCAAGTGACAGATGCTACAAGACTTGACCCTCCAGTCACATTCGGTGGAGCCTTGCACAGGGTTCTATGGTCACAGAAAGGTGGAAAACAGTTAAACCACAGTAGCCGTTTGTTTGCAGTCGGGATTATCATTCTGTCTGTGGAGCTCGTGACCTGCCACAGGTTAGGAAAGGCTGTGTAAGCAGAGCTCAGTGGAACAGGGAGCTCTGAGCACCCTCCATGCAGTGGGTTTGCCATGTCCTTGCTGTGCTGAGCAGTCTGTACAGGCAGTGCTCACTACTGTGGACACTGCTGCCTGCTGGCTTGGCTCACATGTCTCTTCTGCCCCAGCAGAACCTGAACGGTGTGATGGTAGCGGTGGCTGAGCTGCTAAGCATGAAGATCCCCAACTCCTATGAGGTGCTGTTCCCAGATGGCCCTGCCCGGGCTGGCCTTGAACCCAAGAAGGGGGAAGCTGAGGGTTCTGGTAAGTAGAGCAGGAGACCACCTTCAGATCAGAGAGGAGTTCTGGTAGAAGACTGACCCTTTTCCTTTCTCTAGGTGGGAAAGAAAAAGGTTTGAGTGGCAAGGGCCCAGACACTGGACCTGATTGGTTAAAGCAGTTTGATGCAGTGTTGCCTGGCTACACCCTCAAGAGCCAGTTAGACATCTTGAGCCTCTTGAAGCAGGTGGGTTTGGGGGAGAAGGGTCTGATTCAGGAAGAAGGCTTTCCTAGGACTTTTTGAGGGAGTGGAGTCTGCTGGAGAGGAGGAAGGGTTGGTTGGCTGGAGAATTGGCACTAACATTCAGGGGTGTTCCTGCAGGAGAGCCCTGCCCCAGAGCCATCCATCCAGCACACCTACACCTACAATGTCTCCAACCTGGATGTGAGGCAGCTCTCCGCCCCACCTCCTGAGGAACCTTCCCCACCTCCATCCCCTTTGGCACCCTCTCCTGCCAGTCCTCCCGCTGAGCCCATGGTTGAACTTCAGGCTGAACTGCCTGCTGAGCCACCCATCCCTTCACCTCTGCCACTGGCTTCCTCCCCTGAATCTGCCCGCCCCAAACCCCGAGCCCGGCCCCCTGAAGAGAGCGAAGATTCCCGTCCCCCACGCCTCAAAAAGTGGAAAGGGGTGCGCTGGAAGCGGCTGCGGCTCCTGCTGACCATTCAGAAGGGCGGTGGTCGGCAAGAGGATGAACGGGAGGTGGCAGAGATTATGGAGCAGTTTGGTACAGCTTTGAGACCAAGCAAGGTGCCTCGAGACAACCGCAGATGCTGCTTCTGTCATGAAGAGGGAGACGGTGCCACTGATGGCCCCGCCCGCCTGCTCAACCTTGACCTGGACCTCTGGGTACACCTCAATTGTGCCCTGTGGTCCACGGAAGTGTATGAGACCCAGGGTGGGGCATTGATGAATGTGGAGGTGGCCTTGCACCGAGGATTGCTAACCAAGTGCTCTCTGTGCCAGCGAACTGGTGCCACTAGCAGCTGCAACCGCATGCGTTGCCCCAGTGTCTACCATTTTGCCTGTGCCATCCGTGCTAAGTGCATGTTCTTCAAGGACAAGACCATGTTGTGTCCAATGCATAAGATCAAGGGCCCCTGTGAGCAGGAACTGAGCTCCTTTGCTGTCTTCCGGAGGGTCTACATTGAACGGGATGAGGTGAAGCAGATTGCCAGCATCATCCAGCGGGGAGAGCGGCTACACATGTTCCGAGTAGGAGGGCTTGTGTTCCATGCCATTGGACAGCTGCTCCCACACCAGATGGCTGACTTCCACAGCGCCACTGCCCTGTACCCTGTGGGCTACGAGGCCACGCGCATCTACTGGAGTCTTCGTACTAACAATCGTCGCTGCTGCTACCGCTGCTCCATCAGTGAGAACAATGGACGGCCCGAGTTTGTCATCAAAGTCATCGAACAGGGTTTAGAAGATCTGGTCTTCACCGATGCATCTCCCCAAGGTGAGCACCGCAGTGGGCCTGGGGAGGTTATTCCAGGAGTCACTTTACAGAGAAAGATGCTATGTGTACAGCTTTTATAGAGTGGCCTACCCCTACCACAAGCCACACGGTATCTTAAAAACTCCAGTTAATGGGGTTCAGCCTGTCTCAGTCACTTTAAATACCTTTGCAGTTGAGAGTATTTTGCTTAGTAAAGCACACCACTTCACGCCTATAATCCCAGTACTTGGAAGATGAAGGTTGGAAGGTCTGAGTTGTCCTCAACTATCTAGTGAACTGGAAGCCAGCCTGGGAGACCTTTTTTCAAAAAAAAAAAAAAAAAAAAAAAAAGAGAGAAAAAAGTTTCATGTGTACGTGTGTGTGTGTGTGGTTGTGTTTATGCATGTGTATGCATGTGTGTGTGTGTGGTTTAGTTTTTTTGTTTGTTTTTTCCAAGATAGGGTTTCTCTGTGTAGTCCTGGCTGTTCTGAAACTCGCTATGTAGACCAGGCTGGCCTTGAACTCAGAGATCCTCCTGCCAGGCATGTACCACCAGTGCCTGACTTTTTAAAATTTTATGTGTATTGGTGTTTTTCCATGCATATGTACCTACCACATGTATGAGTTACAGTCTGTGAATTGCCATGTGGGTGCTGGGAATTGAACCTGGGTCCTCTGGGAGAGCAGCCAGTGCTCTCAACCATCAGGCCATCTCTCCTAGCCTAAAATTTGTCGTTTTTGTCTTTCTGAGACAGGTTATTTCTGTATAGCCCTGGATGTCCTGGAACTTGGTCTGTGACCAACCTGGCCCTGAACTCACAGAGATCCACTTGCCTCTGCCTCCCAAGTGTTGAGATTAAAGGCTTGTTCTACACTGTCCAGTTGAATGGTGATATTTTAAGATCCTATTGTCTATTATACACAATTTTAAATTCCTTTTTTTCCACATATAAAATCTTTTTAAGAGTTGGTTTTTTTTTTGTTTTTTGTTTTTTGTTTTTTTTGTGGTGCGGGGAATGGAACCCAGAAATCTAGACATGCTAGGCAAATTTACACCACTGAGTTACAACCCCACCTCACCCCCCCCTTCAATTTTTTTTTAATTTAGAATTTTCTTAAGTTTTTTTCAAGACAGGGTTTTCTCTGTGTAATAACCCAGGCTGTCCTGAAACTAGTTTTGTAGACCAAGCTGGCCTTGAATTCAGAGATCCACCTACCTCTGCCTCCCAAGTGCTAGGATTAGAGGTGTGTACTATCATGGCTGGCTATTTGTACATTTGTTTATTGTATGTGTGGGTATGTGAGTGTTTCCCTGCATGTATGTCTGTGTCTTTGCTACGTTCAGTGCCCACGGAGGTCAGAAGTAGGTATGTTGGATTCCCTGGGAGTAGAGTTAAAAGATGGTTTTTGGGAACCGAACCTGGATCCCTCGGAAGAGCAATCGTTCTTAACTTCTGAGCCGTTCCTTTTTATCCTTGTTTCTGTACTGATGATGAATAAAGCAGTAGGAAGTAGGTTTTGGTAAGCATGTACTGTGTGTCTCAGTTGAGTAGTAGAGTGCTTTATGCAGGTTATTGTGTCCACTGCGACCCAGGAGGTAAGCCTTGTCATTCTGTGAGTGTAGACGCACAGAGACTGAGTCTCGGGAGACTTGGCTGTTTGGCTTAAATCCCGTAGCCGTGACTCAGACTTCAACTCCACAGTGTGTCCGTTCATTCAGTAAGCGCTGTGGCTTCTGCTAGGTCTCTCAGTCTCTGTCTCTCAGTCGTCTCTGTCATCCCCTCCACACTGAAGCTTCTCTAGGAAACAAGGAGGGATCCTGAGGAGCCACAGGGAATTGGTGCCCGTGTGCTGGGAAGTAGAACCTAGGGACAGAGTTAGGCTGGAGATGAGTCAGCAGATGTTACCCTAAAGGGCGCTGTCTGTCTCACGCACGTCTAGCCGTGTGGAACCGCATCATCGAGCCTGTGGCTGCCATGAGAAAAGAGGCCGACATGCTGAGACTCTTCCCTGAGTACCTGAAAGGCGAAGAGCTCTTTGGGCTGACAGTGCATGCTGTGCTCCGCATAGCTGAGTCGGTAAGTGAGCAAAGGAGCTGGAGGCAAGGTGGGAATATTGGTCCTGTCTCAGAGGAGTAAGGCATCGATCAATCCCTGTATCCGCAGCTCCCTGGGGTGGAGAGCTGTCAGAACTATTTATTCCGCTATGGGCGCCACCCCCTGATGGAACTACCGCTCATGATCAACCCCACCGGCTGTGCCAGATCAGAACCTAAAATCCTCACACACTACAAACGGTGAGCTTGTGCGGCTAGGCCATGGGCTGTAGATATGGATGTGGATAGGACCGTCTGGACATGTTCTGAGGGTTTGAGATGCAGATCAGAGTTGTTTCCAAGAACCTGGGGAGTCACCCTTAGACCTGATTAGAGGTACACAAATCTTCCTGGGGTATCCCTTTCCTCTTCCCTAATCAGCTCAGGTCCACTGGGTTGACCAGGGAAACAGGACAGAGGACTCTTGCGTACCCCGGGAGTGGCTGCTGGGAGGTTCTTGGTGGCCAATGGTGAGATGCATATGGGAGCTGGTCACTTCTTTCTTCTTTGGTTTTGCTTCCAGAGGGGCCGGTGATACTCCTAAACTCCAGATACCCCTTGAGTGACTAGGGCACATTCCCTCTCCAAAGCTGAGTTGGTTTAGAAATGACTAGAAGTTATAACTAACTAGAAGTTGTAACTGACTAGAAGTGTTATAGAAAAGCACTGCGGCCTTCATTTGTATAGCACTTTATACTTTTTTTTTCAAAGCGTTTTCACATCCATTATCTCATTTGATCCTCACAACAACCTTATGAGGTAGGTAGGGCAGGTGGTATGATCCCCATTTTATAGCCGAGAACACTGAGTCCCAGAAAGACTGCGTGACTAGATAAAGGTCACACAGCTGGGACTAGGCCCTCCTCTTAACATGTGGGTTGCTGGTCTTTCTGTGTACCACAGTAGCCTAACCTTGGTCCTCGGGTAGAGGGAGGCAGAACCCATGGTAGCAGGCTTTCCATGAAGGCCTTTGGTGGCTTGAAGGCTGTCATAGAACGTCGAACACTCTACCCCTCGTTAGCCCTCAACCTTGATGCTCACCTCGAATGCTCTACCACAGTGGTTTTCACACTCTCAGCACATTGTTCCCAAAGCCCCAGAACACAGAAGCCAGTGTGTGTAACTACACCTTCTTAAGATTGGACTTAGCCAGAGGAACTCTGTTTTCACCTGTGGATTGGAGTTACAGTCAACATTTTGCTGAAGAAAACAATCCGCTAAATAAAACAGAAACGCACCCGAGTGTTTGAAAACCACTGCTCAGGGCAAGACCTTCCTAGGGTGGTGAAGGCCTCCCATCGGGCGGCAGTCTTTCCCCTGCACTGAGCTGTCTGCACAGAGCCCAGTGCTGTGCTGCAGAGCGGGCTGGCCTGAAGAGAGGCAACAATGTCATCTTCAAGCTGTGAACTCACAGCCACTTAAAAATCAGATCAAGCCACTGGGGTACAGATGGCCCCCATTTTCAGGGCTTACAGCCTATGTGAGAGGTAGGACTCATCTGATTAAACAAACCATCAGCTTAAATTCCGGGCCTTGGGGAAGACCTCCAAGAGTGCGGCGTTCAGCATGGTTTGCAGGAGGGTGCTAGACAGTGTGAAGGAGAGAGCGGGCTCAGTGTAGGGGAATCGGTGCCTCTTCCCTCTCTGTGCCTACTCCCTGTCCTGGGTGGTCTCTGCGACCCAGGGTGTTCAGAAGGGTCCCAGTAGGGAGTTGCTGCCTTTTCCAAGCTGAGACCCAGATGCCTCCACTCCACTTCCACAGCGGCAGGCACTTGTCGTACTTGCTGATAGCACGTTCCCAGGGAGGAGGTGGGGAAGGTCTGCTTGGTCTGTCATGTCATGGACGGTGTTACCTCCAGGCCCCATACCTTGAACAGCACCAGCATGTCTAAGGCGTATCAGAGCACCTTCACAGGCGAGACCAACACCCCGTACAGCAAGCAGTTTGTGCACTCCAAGTCATCTCAGTACCGGCGCCTGCGCACCGAGTGGAAGAACAATGTGTACCTGGCTCGCTCACGGATCCAGGGCCTTGGGCTCTATGCAGCCAAGGACCTAGAGAAGCACACGATGGTCATCGAGTACATTGGCACCATCATTCGCAATGAGGTGGCCAATCGGCGGGAGAAAATCTATGAGGAGCAGGTACTACAGTATGGCTGGGGGCTGGTGTGGTGGAACATCCACCCTCTGTCTAGGAGCACAGGGGCAGGTTTGAATCCAGGAGGCAGTTGGAAAACTGTGCAGGGAGGGAGAAGACAGAAGTTCAGTCATGTCAGCTAAGCCTGGTGCCCAGTTTGCTTGCTAACATTCCTGCTTCTCCCCGACTGCCTTTCTAGAATCGCGGCATTTACATGTTTCGGATAAACAATGAGCATGTGATTGACGCCACGTTGACTGGAGGCCCTGCCAGGTGAGAGAAGAAGGATTTAAGTGTCCCTGGTGGCCGCATTGTGGGTGTCACCTGGTATCTCTGACACTGACTCTGTCCTGCCATCCAGGTACATTAACCACTCCTGTGCCCCTAACTGTGTAGCAGAGGTTGTGACATTTGACAAGGAAGACAAAATCATTATCATCTCCAGCCGGCGAATCCCCAAAGGAGAAGAGGTGAGGGGAGAGACTTTGCCCTGCGGCTCCAGGACCATCATGGCCGCCTTGCCCGCATCCTCCTCAGGCTTGCTGTGTGTGACTCTGTCCCTCTTTTCTTTCCAGCTGACCTATGACTATCAGTTTGATTTTGAGGACGATCAGCACAAGATCCCCTGTCACTGTGGAGCCTGGAACTGTAGGAAATGGATGAACTAAGAAGCTTTGAGGCTACCAGGCAGGGGAGTTCCCCCCACTCCCGCCTCTTCCCTGAAAGGGATGAGAGGGAAGAGAGGTAGCAGCCAGAGCCAGGACCCAGGGCTGGGGCTGCCGACTGACCGGAGCCCCTGGAGCAGGAGGCTGGGGCGGAGGACCCTAGGCCAAGCCTACCCTGGGCACCAGGGACAACCTTCTTCCCTGCCACCGGCCCTTAGGCTGGCATCTGCCCCCAGTTCCAGGAGGGGACAGACAGAAGCAGCCACTGGGCATCTCAGGTTTGAGGGGGCTATATGGGCCGGGACTACCCAGAAGTGTCAGGGAGCAGGGAGGGGTGTGCGGCGGGCCTCAGCCCTGCTGCCTCCACCGACCTCGCTGGCCCAACTCAAGGCTGCAAAGAGACTTGACTAAGCTTGACAATCCCAAAGGCCGGGTCCCACACCTGGCCCTGCCTGCCGGGTCCTGCCCCTACCCTCACCCCCATCCCCTTCCTCTCTATCTGTCTCTGTCTCCCTCTTTTCCTCTGTGTTTCTGTCTCTCTATGGGTTGTGTTTCCTTGTTTTCCACTCTGACAAATGCAACATGATGGGAAAGAGGCATCCAGATGCCCAGGAGGGCAAGCCGGGCACGCCAGGCAAGCCAGGCACTCCGGGCACGCCGGGCAAGGAGACCCCGCACCCACACCTACCTCATTTAAGTGTTGGATTTTTTGCTGTTTTGAAATGTGAGACCCTCTCCGAGCCCCCTACTGCCCCGACTCTCCCCCCACCTCACTGCCCTCGTCTAGTGGGTGGAAGGGGGGTAGGAGAAGGACAACAACAACAATAACAACAACAAAAATCCATCTTTGTTTTTAATTATGGGCGTGGGATGGCGGCTGAGGCGAATGGTGATGAAGACTGGGGTGACTGGTCCCTAGTTGCTCTAGGACCTCCTTCTCCATCTGGACATGGAGGCTGGAGGGGTGTGCTAAATCTAGGACCAGGATCTCGCTCTCCTGTTTTCCCAGCCTCATCCTGAGCCCATCTGCCCTCCAGCCCCTGGACGGGGTGTGGGGGGTAGGGTGAGGGCTATCCCTGAGTGGCATGCCCGTACCCCATGAGGCAGGGTGTGGCCCAGAGCTCTCACTTGCCCTCAGTCACCAAACTGCTGCTGGTCTGGTGGGAATGGGTGGTGATGTGGGGGTGGGGAGCGTAGTGTCAGCGCGGGGCGGGTGGGGGGTATTTATCTATTTATACATGGGATTGTACATAGTCTTGTGGGGCGTGGGGGAGCCGGCCGGAGGGGAGAACCCTCCCCTCTCCCCCACCCCCGGGGAGAGCAAATGTAAAACTACTAATTTTTGTGCTTTATATATTCTATATAAATATATCTATTTTCTTTTTACAAAACCAGTTTATAAATGGTAGGGGGGTGTGGGGCGGACACATGGAGCTCCCCTTGTGGGGGGGCCCCCTCCACTACCCACCCTACCGACCTTTCCTCCCCCTCCCCACCCCCTGGCTGTGACTGCTGTAAGGTGGGGGTATAGAGAGAAGCTGGGTGATCTTTCCCCGGGTTGTATAGTTGGACTATGTTATAACGCACAAAGTAAGCTGGCCCCAGGGGGAGCCAGAGGGTGATGGGTACCCTGATCTTCCTTTTTCCTTCCTTTCTGCCCAAGCTTGTGCTGCAGTTGGACCTCTTCCTGCGGGTGGTGGTGGGGTAGAGGGCGTGTGAGGCCTCAGACCCCTCTCTGGGGGAGCCGTGGGGATGAGATGACGCTTGTGTGCAGTTCTCTCCTAGGGGCTGTGGGCAAAGGGCATTTTGTAATTAATATTTTCAAGAATCAGATTATCTGGATTGTAGAGATGGGCTGGATGGTGGCAATGGGCAGGCCTGCTGGAGGGGTAGAGCGGTTGCTGTTGTGATTTTAGGTTTTTGTTTTGTTTTAAATTTGGGGGATTGTGGATTGATGGGGGTAGGGAGATTTTTTTCCTTTTTTTTTTTTCCTGGCCTTTTTTTTTTTTTTAAAGCTGCTTCCTCAACTGTTTCAAGCTGCAGATGTTTATGAGAATAACAACTCCCACACACACCCCCACAGAAACCATTGTAATTAGATCAGACAGTGGGGAAATGGGCTTGCTGTCCCCAAAGCCACAGAGCTGAAAGGTCTAGGCATTAGGTGGTGGGGAGGTTGTCTCCTGTGAGTCGGGCTCTGGTTGGGGCTTGGGCCCTAGAACTGGGAAAGGAGAAGGGGCAGACTTTGTAAGCATATGCTAGGTATCTGATAGTCCTGTAGAATTTAGTGAAGAAACCTTATACAGTTTTTAATTTTTATATAAACTATAACTCAGACCCATGCTACAAGGTTGGAATTTTGGTTGTTGTTGTTTTTTTTTTTTTTAAGTACCCCGCCTGTATAATTGCATCAGAATCCCACCCCCAACCCCTCCCCCTGTGTTTGTATTTTGGGTTGGTTTACACTTGCACATACTCAATTTCAGTTTCTCCCTTTTACCTTCTACCCTCACCTCCAGGACCCTCCCCCTTTTTAAAAAAATAAATCGCTGACAAGTGTGAATCCCGTGAAGAACTTTATTTTGTGTTGTGTGTATCCTGTACAGCAAGGTTGGTCCTTCGTAACAACGGATGAAATGGTTCCCTTTTTTAAAGCGCTCTCTCTTCCTCCACCCCCAGCGCCCCTGTCCTTGGCATGTTTTGTATCGGCGATCATTCTGAACTGTACATAATTTATGTTGCGAGAGGCAAAGGGCAAGTTTTGGATTTTGCTTCTTCAAAGTTTGTTTTTAAACGATAAATAAAAAAAGAACATTTTAAATACAAGCGCCTCTGTCCCATGACCCTCGCCGTTAGTTAGATCTTAAGGTCCTGGAGAGCTGGGGGGAAGAAGGTTATCCAAGCCATACTCAGCCACTGCCGGAAGGGTGGGTTCCCCGCCTTCCGCTCTGGGCTGGGGTGTGACGTAGGCGGAAGTGGCGCGCGGCACCGGATGTGGGGCGGGGTCTACAGCAAGGGAGCTTTCCAAGCTGAGGAACTGGCGGGCACAAGCAATGGAGTCGGTGAGTGGCGCAGGAGGGCGGCGGGGGGCGCTGTGGAGCCGGAGACCCCCGCGGGAGCGGGGGAGGGCCGGGCCGAGCTTGGCGCTGGAGTCCCGGACTCCCCTCTGCCTCGGTGGGCGCCTGTCCCAGGTCTGGGCCACACCCGTGCCCGCCTGAGGTCCACCGTACCCACCCTGAGAGCGGGCTGTGAGCTTGAAGCCCGCGAGCACCGCAATGATCTTGGTTGGCCCCCTGCTTATGAGTGCCTCAAGTCCTTTCAGAAGTTTGCATGGGAGCGAGACCCCGTTTGTGCGACTGCTTAAGCAATTCTTGGCGTGGACAACGAAAGACTATACTGCATTCCTTTAATAAGCCCGAGAATTGAGTTCTCCGTGAAGGAAGGGATCCAGGAGGCCACTGTGTCCCTTGGACAAGTTTAGGTCGTGTTCTGATCAGTGAGTGACGCTGTGCATGCATGTTGACAGCTCGTTCTTGGCGAGCAGCGCAGCGTTGACCGATGGTGGCAGACCCTGGTCACCTATTACAGATGCTGTAGGTTATCTGCTACTTGTTTGACCTACCTCATTCACAGGAGCCTTTCTCTGCCACTCTGAAGGCCCTCCCATCGACTTCCTGCGCCGTAGTTTTAAACCGAGTTTCTTCTGTAGGCAGCTTGGGGTTTGATTACCCTCACTGTATAGCTTGGTAACACTTGCAGGTTCGCTCTTCTTAGAATTTTTTTTTCTCATTTTCTTTGAGTCAGTTACTTGGCCTGGAGTAAAATTTTTTCCCGGCACCTTTGTCTGCAGAGAAATAGTGTAACTTATAAAGAAGGAAAGAGCCGGGCGGTGGTGGCGCACGCCTTTAATCCCAGCACTTGGGAGGCAGAGGCAGGCAGATTTCTGAGTTCAAGGCCAGCCTGGACTACAGAGTGAATTCCAGGACAGCCAGGGCTATACAGTGAAACCCTGTCCCGAAAAAACCAAAGAAAAAAAAAAAGAAAAGAAAAAGTCATCCAGGCAAGCATTTCATTTTCTTTCTTTCTTTCTTTCTTTCTTTCTTTCTTTCTTTCTTTCTTTCTTTCTTTCTTTCTTTCTTTCGGTTGTTTGTTTTTAAGAATTGTTTATTTTGACAGACAGGGCTACACAGAGAAACCCTGTCTCAAAAAAAAAAAAAAAAAGAATTGTTTATTTTATGTATATGAGTACACTGTAGGTGTCTTCAGACACACCAGAAGAGGGCATCAGATGACATTACAGATGGTTGTGAGCCACTATGTGGTTGCTGGGAGTTGAACTCAGGACCTCTAGAAGAGCAGGCAGTGCTCTTAACCGCTGAGCCATCTCTCCAGCCTCAAGCATTTCATTTTCTACAAGAGAAAGCATTTTCAGCAAAAGATTACATTAAATTTAAAACAATACTTTTTTTTTAACTTGTAAATATATTATTTACATTATAAGTATAAATGATAAACTGTGAGCATATAGTTTAAAAGCAGCTTTTCTGTATGTTTCCAAATTTAGCCCTTTACTTTATATATACTGGATTACGGGGAGTTGGAGATGATTATGGGGAAGGCTGTTAGTTAAGGTAGACTGTAGTAAGTACTATCCTCACGGTACAGACACCAGAATAAAGGAAGGAGAAATTACACTAGGCCTAGAAAAGAGTTCAGACTCATGGCTCAGTGGTGTTGAAACTGGATTTTGGTCATGGTGTAAGAAAAGTTGGCTAAGACCAAATTGGAAATACACACACACACACTTTTTTTTTTTTTCCTGAGACGGGGTCTCAGTAGGTAGCTTAGATCTTCTGAGCAGTGTGGTCATGAGCCATCACTCCCAGCTTGGGCTTTGTAGTAAGGGGACCGGTGGGAGATGTATGAGTAAGACGGGAATATTGAGAATATTCTTAACAGCTTTCTGTAAATAGACTAAGCCACTTCAGAAAGTAAGTTTTGTTTTGTTTGATTTTTTTTTTATTTTGAAGTGTGTGTGTGTGAGTGAGAGAGAGCGAGAGAGACAGAGAGAGAGAGAGAGAGATTGAGATTGGTGTGGGAGAAGGTATGTAGCTGCCATGGAACAAGCATGGAGGCAAAGGACAGTTTCTTGTAGTTGCTTTTCTCTTACAGCCCTGACGTAGGTTTGGGGATCAGACACAGGTCATCCGGTTTACAGGGTAAGCTCTTTTATTCACTCAACCATCTCACCAGCCTTGGGAAGTATTTTCTCCTAATGAGCTACTTTGGCTAGAGAACCTGATCAAAGTGTAAAGCAGGGAGGCTACAGATGTGGAGCAGGGACAGAGAATGCTGGGCAACTGGAGGTGTAGTTTCTCAGAGGAAAGCTTATGGGGGGCGGGGGGAGGTGCAGAGTAAGAAGCAGATCCTGAGGCAGGGCTGTGAAAACAGACGGAGATGGTTTGGGGCATTTCTAACCTCAAAAAACTGTCTTACATGTAAGGAAAACAGAATGACAATCCCAGACACTGGAAAGATGGCAGAGTAGCACTGAGAAAATAAAACAAACAAACAAAAAATCCCGGAAAGTCACAGGGTAAGAACAGGCTTGGGGGACAGATATTCTGTATTAAAGCATTACAAATAGTCTTTGTAGTGTGTGGTTGGAACACAACTGGAAATGCAGATCCGGGGTGTGGAAAGCAGTTTGTCTTAATGTCGGATCTAGCCTCTGTCTCTGTAATAGTACTTTTACATGTGTGTAGTACAGTGATGTTTTTGGCTCTCTAAGATAGTTTGTTTTGGGTGTTTTGTTACTGTTTTGAGTCAGGGTCTAATGTAGCACAGACTAACCTTGAATTCACTCTGTAGCTGAGGTTGGTCTTGATCTCCTGAGCACTGGGAATACAGTTGTACACCACTACCCAGAGTTCTCAGCCCCATCTTATTAAAGGAAGAGGGGAGTGTCCATAATTCTCCCACTAGTGGAGAAACAGGCAGGAAGGATAAAGTCCTGTTTAATTGTTTCTGTGGTGATTGTTTAGTTTTGTCAACTTGATTGCAACCTGGAATTACCTGGGAAGAAAGTCTCAACGAGGGGTTATCTGTCTAGATTGGGTTGTCCTGTGGACATGTCTTAGCCAACTGCTGTGGGAAGACCTAGCC